TTTTTTAATGATACGGCGACCACCTCTACACGGATTCACACACTCTTTCCCTCCCCGCACGACGCTCTTCCGATCTGTCCACGTTGTTTGCACCAGGCCACGGCGTGTGGCCACCGCCCTTGATGGAGAATGGACAAAAGTCATGGCATCCATGTCCCTTCCCGCCATTTCCCTTCCCAGCACCCTTGGCCACGGTCTTGATCGCAAAGGAGACGTCATCCGCGGTAAGAGGGCGGAAGATGCAGGACGCAGGGAGCTCCGCGGAAGCAGCCCAGCGGTCGTTCCAGTCTTCGAACCGGTCCTCGCCAGCGTAGACGAGTTGGTCCGGGTAGGTCTCGCTGAGCTTGCTACACTATATCATGTTAGTATAATCATCATCGCGCATGAAGATGTGTAACGTACGCATGCAGAAACGTTGTCAGCCGTTGAGGAATGCTTGGCTGTGACCGCAGTCGCCAACACGGCGAGCGGGAACAGTGAGTTCAACATGATGTCTGAAGGTGTTGATGACGAAGAGCCCGGTCGAAGAAGAGGGCTCGCGATGCTGTAGACTTGAAGACGGTGCTGGGCCAGTTAAGAGTATTAATATAACGCCCGGTGTAAGTCCGTGAACTCCGAACTCCTATCGAAATTAGTCAATTGAACGAGGCGGATGACCACGGTTCTGACTCGTGGGACATATCATCCTTCTGCAAGCGAAAGGAGTTTTGGAAGCGAGCTGCGGGTATCCTAGATCGACCTGCATTACGCCCTGTACAGTTAAGGGGGGAATCCAGTTGAAGATGGAGCCATACTACCACCTCAGTCCGCTCAAAATTGGGGCCCCCATGTCCTTGACCAGCTCGAGCAACTGTGCGGATGTTCCGATTCGCTTTATGCCGATTCCCCCCCCCCGCGCGGGAGATCCCCGGTAATACCAAGATACTGGGTTCATGTTTACAAACCAACAGCCTTTTCGAATTCATGTCGGTAATAAGTAAGGTACGTATCTTTCCCCTGGGCGATGACAAGATTGGGGGCTATCACGCCCACGTGTGGGTATCGTGTTGGCAGCAGCAGGACCTAGATCTCACACGCGTCATGCAAGTGATCCGATCAGTCGAATCGCTGCCTCGATCGCAACACGATTCTGCCATGCTCCCAAAAGCCACACTGTTGTCAATCCATACGCTTCTAGGGAAAGCTGTCGACGTAAGCGACGGCGCCTCACAGGCTTCTAGGCTCTCGCTAGGGTGGGCAGGCGATTTCCGATGCTGGCACCACCACTCCGTACTACTCCGTTTTCAGCTCGGTTGTTCTTAGCGTCCTCAATGAATCATTTGCAACATTTTAGCCTCGATGCCCCCAGTCGGGATGGCTGACATGGCTGTCGGCGCACGACGCCAAATACAGTAATGTCAAGGGTCTCGCGAGTCATCGTCCTGCTTACCACTGAGCAACTGCATATCGTGCATGAAGTTGACCGTTCTCGCAAATATCCTACATACAATTCGGAAGACGTGACGAATCTTCAAAAGAGCCCCGTGGGCCCCCGACCCATTCTTGATTGTCCGAATGTCCACGTCCCACCTGCCCCTGGTCTACAAGTTCATTATGTCGACTGAAGACGCAGTCTGGTCCTTTGATCCGTCACTGCCGGACAATGGACCTACAGTGAGCGCTGCTGTATGGTCGGTCTTTGCAGTGGCCACTGCCTTCCTTGGCCTTCGAGTGTTCTGCAAGTTACGCAGTCATCACGGCCTGTGGTGGGACGACCATGTCCTCATCGCCTCCTGGGTACGTGAGCGTTCGTGCCATTCTCTTCCTCTCGTGACATCAGCCTAACGTCGAGTTTGTGTCATAGGTATTCTTCCTCGCAGCTGCGATCCAACTCTCCGTTAACATCGCCCATGGCTTCGGACGACCGGGCATCAACATTGATCCCGCCAACTCCTATCAGGTTGGGCTGGGCGGCATGGTCGTCGGTACATTGGTCCTGATCGCCCCAGCGCTCAGCAAGACCTCGTTTCTGCTCACGGTGGGCAAGATCTCAGGATCAAAGCTTAAGAAAGCACTGTGGTTCATCGCTGTGTCAATGAACGCGCTACAAGTGGTAGCTTTGGTCATCCAGTTTGCCCAGTGCAGCCCGCTCGAGAAGGTGTGGAATCCCTGGGCCGACGGTCGGTGTTGGGGTCGCCAGGCGAACCTAGCCATATCCATGACAAGCTCTGGTAAGTCGATCGGACGCTTTGTTGGGGGGGTATATGTACTGAAATACACGGACACAGCGTACTCCGGGATCATGGACCTCGTGTTAGCGGCGATTCCATGGATCATTCTGAAAGATTTGCAGATCAAGCGAAGAGAGAAAATTGGAATCGCGATCGCCATGAGTTTGGGGGTCATGTAAGTCTTCCAGAACAGGACTTTTGACTACAAGAGGCAAACAAACACCTGACTCAATTTGTTGTAGCGCTGCCATTACTGCCTTTATCAAGTGCAACAAGCAGAAGATTCTGGCTAGCAGTGATTTCACTCGTAAGTGGAAAGACACAACACCGCGAGACCAGCCGTCAACCACTGACACTTTCGAACAGTGGAGGGTGGTGAACTCATCATCTGGGCGTCGACAGAGATCTCCGCAACAATCATCGCCGCCTGCGTCCCCGTCCTCCGAACATTGGTCAAAGGCCTTAGTACCGGTCGAGGCGGCCAATCTGGAGGCTACTTCCGTTCTGGCTCTGGCATAGACCGTCGCAAATCGCACACGACAGGCAAACACAACACCCCTGGTGGTACTTTTGCGGCGCATGACAGTAGACCGGCAGCTGAGAGGGTCTTGCCCGACGCTTCCAGCGATACAAGCATATTGGAGAACAGGTCTGGAGGCAAAATCGTGAAGACGGAGGAGGTGGCGGTCCAATTTTCAGAACGGGGTGACGATTCCAGTGTCAGCTATGAGTTGCACGAGTTTGACGTGGCGCGCAGTCCAGGAGCCCGTCAGTGATGGGCGAAAGGAGGGCAGGAGATATGGGCCAGAGGTATGCAAAATGTCCGAAAAGGTCGAGAAAGCTGTGTAGAGGCCACAATGGCTAATATGGAGGAATTGTACACTGCGATATACCTCTTTGTTGCCCCTGGCTGCTTACTTTCTAATAACCATGTGTCGTGTCGCCAATCTTTGGCCGCGATCGCTCTGGACTTGCCAAGTATATCTGGCGATGTATCGTGACCCGAGCTTAGCTGTGTTTGTCGGGCTCGCTGAGTATGCGAATTTGGCAGCCGCCTCTCGCATCAGTGGACGGCCTCGATGACATATAGGTATATCTAATTATATTGTCTGACGCCCGCACTTCTACGGGTCAAATGACCCTGAACATGTTGTTCTTGACTTGGCTCTTTAATCCCTGCGCGACGCCATTTTCGTATTCAACTCCAGCGGAACCGCCGTCTCCAGAGGATGCCTCGAGCCTGGCGCGTAGGTCTTCGTCTTGCTGTGCGACTGTCTTTTTCTTGGCTGCTTCGACTTCCTTTGATCTTTCTTGGCTGTGGGCTTCCATCTTCGGAGAAATGCGTTGATAATTTTCAGGCTGATGAGATGCTGATGCTACCGTACTGCGGAAGCGTGGTCGGGAGACATTCAGCCTCATCAAAGGCACACGGGCGATGCGTGCCAGCACCATTGTTTTTAATGTTGGAGAAGCGCCGGACATCAAGTCTGAAGGTGAGCGTCTTGCAAGGAAAGGAGTCCACGTTCCTCTTTGATGTCATGGTGATGGAGAGATTCTAGGATGACGTCGCTCAGTCAGCAGAATGTCGCTTCTTTTACCTACCCTAATCAGACGCGCACAGCAGCAATCTCGGAGCCTAGTATTAAATTCATCGTCCAACGCAGTGAAGCAGAGACGCAATCATCCCTAAGCGGAAACGGCGGCTCATTTTGGGAATCACTTGAACATATCGAAAAAGGTTAACCACGAAAGTTTGACTAGCCGTAAACTTCATCATTCTTTAGGCATTTAAAAAAAAGTAACTAGGACCCTGTGAATTATTTCAAGGCTACCTACCCTGTTGTTCCTTGACCTGCCATGGCGGCACCCCGATATTTATTCACGTTGTGGCGGCGCCAGTGCAAGGCAAGACTCAAGGCGGATACTTTCTGACCATACTTGTACTTGATCGCAACGCTTAGTATGTGATATTAAACTTCACCATCTCCTTGCCAAACGCCCGAACAATTCCAAGTCATCCTTAGGGAAAAAGAAGAAGAAGAAGGAAAAAAAGGAGACTCTAGACTGCATCTTGTCGCTGCCTGAAGACACGCTGTGCGATACCAATCATCCCTCAAACTCAACGACACCAGGTTCATTAGTCGTGGCGGGCCGGTGTGGGAGAGGCTTCCCTCCTTGCAGATCCTTATCCGCCAAATTCGCTTCCTGTTCCTTGACCGCGCCGGCCTCTGCGTCGGCTCCGCTCAGGAGATCGAGGTCGGAGCTCTTGACAGAGCGGCTGTCCGAATCACCACTGGCGCCCCCTGGTCCACGTCGGACCCCCACGGCGATGCCGATATCTTCGTCATCCTCCTCGTCCTCGTCAGGCTTCTGTCCCGGGAGGGCGTTCTTCTCCAGCTCCTTCTGGGCCTCGTCCATGCGCCTGCGCACCTCTGTTGCCACACGCATACCGTCTGTGATGATGCCATCCATGACACCACGCAGTCCGCGACCCGCTCCTGCAGCTGCGGGTGAAATGGGCACCGGCGGACGGCTGCCGAAACCGAGACTAGAGAATGTGGTCAGTCCCCCTGCTGAGGCCGACGCTGTGCTCGGCACTCCATCGACGACATGGAAGGATGTGGGGAATGACGACTCAAAAAATTGCTCCAGGAGCTCGTCGGCGAGGACGACCATTCTGAAGGTGGGAAGTGTCATGTGTAGAGGGTGAGCAGGGTCAAGTGCTGCATTGGCAGCCTCGGACTTTGCTTTCGAAACACTCCGCTGCGAGTCCTGGGTATCTTCGGTTGCCAACGTGGGTGGCTTTGTAGCCTTTGACGGCGATCCCGACGGAGATTCGAAGCCCAGCAAGTCTTCTTCACCGCCATCCTCCTCTTCATCATCATCATCGCCAATGGCGAAGGCGTTGCTGTTGTCCTCGGCGTCCTTTTCGGTCTGGAACTTCTCGATGGCCTGGTTGCTGGGATGGTCAGGGTCGGCGTACTCGAAGCAGCGGCGGATGAAAGCGCTGACACTGCCCAGAAACCGTTCGTTAGCCGATGCTCCGGGGGCCAGGCTGCCCTGGGACTCGCGAACAACACTAGAGTCGCCATTCAAGGCCAGGGTCGAGGCGCTGGGGCTGAGGCTACCCTCCAGACCCCGACGTGACAAGAAGAGCAGGGCCTCCGAGATACGCAATATGCCCTCACGGTCAACTTTGCCGTCATTGTCATCATCGTACAGCTCGAAGAAGTAGGTGATGGTACCCATTATGTCGCGTCTCCCCTTGATCCTCGCGAGCCCAGTGACCACATTCTGGAGCGTCAGCTGGCCGGTGCCGTCCACGTCCCACTTCTTGAAAAGCCTCTGCAAGAACTCGTGCTCAGCTGGTTCTGGGCCCGAGCCCCAAGGCGAGATGGACTCGGTCGGCCTGCGTGCGCTCTGGTATCTGGTGGGCCTGTCGGATTCTGACATGGTATCGCGTCTCGAGGACCCTGGCGAATCTGAAATGGCCCACTTGGACGTGGATGCCAGGAACTCGCGGAAGGCATCGTAGTCCATGTGGCTTGTACTAGGCCCAAGGCCGACTCGCCCCTTTTCCACCTCGTCCTGGCCACCAGAGAATATCTCGGAGGCTCGCGCTCGGCTTTGTTTCGCCTTTCTGATCTTGTCCTGCTGAAGCATCATGTCCCTCTGCTGACGATCATACAAAATGTTGTAGAACCTGTCGTACAGTGCGCCAAGCTCTTCAGTGCTCAACAATTTGCTATCAGGGCCAAGGTTGCGAATGGCTGTCCTTTTGGCAAAGTTCTCAATATTATTTAGAACGGCGTCCTTGTGCTTCAGGCGCAGCTCTGTGATGCTGTTGTGGGTGATGCCCGCAAACTCCTTGAAGGCAACGACCATGAGCTCCTGGAAACGTGTCACGGCGCGCAGCTTGGGGTTCTCGGACTTGGGGTGCGCAGATTCCTCCAGCCGCGAGAAGTATGACTTGAGGACGGAGATGAAAGTGCCATCGTCGGTTGCGTCTAACAATTCCTCGCCATTGATCCTCAGGATAGCCAGTCCGACTTGGAACAGAACTTTGGGGCCTTCCACAAAGAACACATCCAGGACCCGGAAAGCGAACACCAGAGGCATCGAGTTGATGTAGAGTGACAGGAACCAGGGCAAGGACACCACCGACAGCTGCACGTCGCTTTTGACAAGGTGGTCCCAGAGGATCGGCATCGTCTTCTCAACCAAACCCTCGAAAACCTTTTGATCGAGGAGGGTGCCGTACATGGTAGTCGAGTAGTATCCGGGTACGAGCCGATCGCACAGCGCAGACAGCAGGAAGAAGGCCTGCGCTTCGGACATGTAGATGAGAAGTGCCGCCACGACAATGTTCATCGCCTGACAGTACCCCACGTCAGGATTGGTCCAGCTGTACGCGACCAAGACGCGTCTCAGCCGATTGATGCCTTCTTCGCTTTGGAAGCCCGGGTACTCCGGCAAGCTGCGGTTCAGGTCCTTCTCAATCTCGTCTATAGCGAGTGAATCCTGGCCTTCGAATTTCGCCAGTGTCTCCTCGTACTGTGTGGGGTTCTCCAGTCTCAGGAAGATCGATCCTGACGTGAGCTCCCATATCTCACCTCGGAGGCGGTTGGGGAGCCCTACACGAATCAGTTTGTGGAATGTAGGTTGTCGAACGAGTGTCACATTGCGCCCGTTGTCGCGTAGATATTCGGCCCAAAGACGCATCTTTGCGCGGTCGCGAAGCTTCTTCGGGTCGCCAGGGTATCGGAAGATCATGCCGAGGCCAGCGTCCGGTGGGCTTATTCCCTTCCTGTCTTCAGTCCGGAGCAGGTATTCGGAGTAGTCCTCGGCAACGACCTTTCGTAGTTTGCCGACGCTGCCCACCCCAGCTCTCAGACCCTTCTTCAATCCGTCGCAGAATCGCTCGCATGACTGCCGGGTGCCTGCAAGATGAATGATGATGCGCTGCTCTCGACCGTCTTGCTTCGCCTTGGTGTCTTTGGTGTCTTCGTACAGCAAGCCATTCCACGTTGTGAACGCCAGAGCAAACTTGAGAGTTAGCATCGATGCACCACCAGTGCCCGCAACTGACGTACCTGGAAATTCTGGCTATTCAGTCTCTCTACCCTCCGGATGGCGCAGAGCGGCCAAGTGAAGCCGTTTCCGCTAGGGCCGCCCCCGTGCGTTTGCCCAGTGAAGGCTGACGATGTTGAGACGCTAGCAGATTGGGCGAAGCTCGAGGGCGTGGTCGAGAAGCACATGTAGCCTTCTGACAAGTGGAGCTTTCCCGCATAGTGCCATCCTCTGTCGTGGTCTTTGTCGCCGGATGTCTGGTTCGAAGGTGGGATCGTAAGCTCGGCGTTGATCTCGTGGAGGGGGTTCTGCGTGGAGGGGATGCGGAATTGGTTCTGGAAGAGTGAAGCTTTCGACGGGTTGCGGTCCGAGTTGGAGAGGTTGAGGCCTTGCGTAGGGTCAATGAACTGCTGGGCTTTGTGAACAATGTTCGTGAAGTTGGAAAACATGATTCCACATTGGTCATCAGCGCATGACGACGCCGGAGCAGCTGGAAGTGGACGACGGGTTCGGGAACTGAGAAGTCGATTGTGCACGGGGTAAAGACCACCTGACTAGTCGGGGTGAGACGAGGCGGTCGATACGCGGCAAAGAGCGTGGTCGTCCTTGTCGACAAAGGTCTTGACCAAGGGATGGCTCGCGGTTGGATTGGAGTGCTGTTTGCGTTTGGATGGTCACGGTGCTATCGTCCGTCTGTCAGTCGCCAGCTGAGTGGAGCCACAGGAGCTTTGGAGCTCAGGTGCCGCGGTGCACTAACATCGTAACATGTATTTTTGCAGCACTCATGCTAACATGTCATATCCAAGAGCTGTGTGCTACAGTACCAACATTCCTGCCCCCTGTGTGAGCAAGGATACCATTCTCGACCATTTGCGTCCTGTCCTTTACGCAGCTATCAGAGAACAGGTCATTTCCGGCTTTTGCCTGTGCAGCTGGGTGAGTAAGTTGTTAGGACATTATTGACTTGCGTATATGTAGAGCCAGTACGGACCACCAACTGGGGGGGATGATGGTCAACAGCGATTGCCATAAGGTGTATGCCAAAGGCCATATCATCGTCACTTGCTTGAAGATGTAGACCATGCGTTTGCAAGGGCCATTGTCTAGGTCAGCCCACGAGGCTGACTTCTGAGGTACGAGGCTGCACGTCAGCTGAGCTTGGGTTTCCAACAGCTGCGCGGTTTATTATAACATCTTCGAAGAATCTGCTTATTACAAGTCCCTTCTGTATGTCTGTCTGTCTACATGTCACTCGAGCAAGAACATGCTTCGTTTCAGATTTCGACTTGCGCTCCTGTCATGGGTCTCGATTGCGCCGCCTTGGTATGATGGCTTGGCGCTTTGTTCTTGTAGCCATCAAAAGTACGTGCTTGGTTTCCGTGAAATGGTGGCCTGATTACCTACATGTGCATCTTGAGCATCAGCGTACCAGCACACACAAGGCGGACGGAGACCAACCACTTGCAAACTAGAGCCGCACCACTGCGACGTGACCCCCCAAGAGCAAGAATAAGGTTCTGTTGCATCCTATCCCTGCACGAGTGTGAGCCACCAACCTGAATACGTGCCCGCCTCTAGTCTCACAATCTAGGCTTGCAGTCCCCTCCAGTCATCTCCGTAAGTTAGCATGGACCTAAACAGTGGTGATTAGCGAGCAAATCCCCCCCCCGACAGGCCGCACAAGTGAGCCCCTACAAGCCCGCTAAGGACTGTATTCAGGGGGGTTCTCTGGGTAGGGGCGCCCTAACCTCCACGCTTTACGGAGGAAACAGGCCAGACGTCGCGGACGCCCACGTTGCGTCATTCTTGGTACTGTAGGCCCCACCACCACCATCACTGCCACTGGGACCATGGATCCCGCCCCTCAACGGCGGGTAAAGCCACTCGTGAGCGAGCGCAATGTACCTCAACGCCTGTATTGAGCAGGCCAAGTACATGGGCGCAGTCGATCCGATGCCACCATGACAGCGGTTCTAGATGCGGTAGCCAAGGACATGGACTGGGCTGGAGCGACAGCAACCCATCGGCAAGAGGAAGGAGTGACAGTGTTCAACTGGCTAGCAAGTTAGACCGAGATCTCGAACCGGCGCAACCCAGATTCAACTTCGACCCATCCATCACCCAGATCAAATATGCATATTTTCCCACCTCAGCCACTCACCTGTTGAGGTACTTGAAGATCAATTAGCACATGCGGCGACTGAAATGGGAACCACCCGACCCTATTACTTTTGGAGGCTTTCAAGAAGAACCCGCCCATCAATCACGACTTCCGCTGCCAAGGGCATCACCCCTCCTCGAATGATCCGTTGATTTGTTACTTCGTCTCAGACTCTGTATCGTTCCGCCAGCTTGCGCCCTACCACCAGCATGGCAGCTCAAGTTGCCAGCTCCCAGTTCCCTTCCATGCCTTCAGGGAGCGCCAACAAAGCAGCACAGGTCGCGGCAGCCACGGGCCTCGTCCACGAGAACGGCCCCGCGCCCAGCAGAGGCACTGAGCCCGAGCCTCTCCCGGCGACACAGAAGTTCAAGCCAGATGATTTCGAGCTTGTTCGGACTTTGGGAACCGGTAAATATTGGGTGAATGAGTCCTCGTTAACGACATCGTCCCTTACACATGCCTAGGCACATTCGCCCGCGTCTGTCTTGTCCGCCGCGCTACGTCGTCATCGACAGACAAGGGCAGCGATAGCGAGCATTATGCACTCAAGATCCTACGGAAAACTGAGATTATCAAGCTCAAGCAAATTGATCACGTTCGGCATGAAAGAGCCATTCTTGCGGAAGTGGCAGGGCATCCTTTCATAACAAGGCTGAGTGCCTCTTTCTCTGACCAGGACTCGCTCTATATGCTCCTCGACTATGTTCCGGGCGGTGAGTTGTTCAGCTATCTGCGCAAGCTTCGTCGCTTTGACGAACCAACTTCTCGATTCTATATCGCTGAGATCGTGCTGGTACTCGAGTATCTTCACGAAGCGCAGGGCGGCGTGGCATATCGCGACCTAAAGCCCGAGAATCTCCTGCTTGATGCAGAGGGCCACATCAAACTGGTGGATTTCGGATTCGCGAAACGACTTGGCCACTCTGCAGACAAACCAGTCGAGACCTACACACTCTGTGGAACACCAGAGTATCTTGCGCCCGAAGTCATCCAGAACAAGGGTCATACTGCCGCAGTGGATTGGTGGGCATTGGGCATTCTACTCTACGAGTTTCTGACGGGCTACCCGCCGTTCTGGCACCAGAACCCCATGGAGATTTACAAGCAGTAAGTTTGAAGATGCCGCCCGGGACGGTCCTCATGCTGACATGGGCAGGATCGTGGAGAAACCAATCTTCTTCCCCGTAGAGCCCCGCATATCCGATGAGGCCCAAGACATCATCCGATCGTTCTGCACCGTCGACCGTTCAAGGCGGTTGGGCAACATTAGCGGCGGTGCTCAACGCGTCAAGGACCATCCATTCTTCAAAAATGTGAATTGGGAAGACGTTTACAATCGAAAAATCAAGGGTCCGATTGTACCGCCTGTGCGGTATTCCGGGGATGCGCAATGCTTCGACAACTACGCCGAAGACGATGGCAAGCGGGCAGAGTACACGGCAGAAATGGCGCAAAAATACGACGACTATTTCAAGGATTTTTGACGGGAACGACGAGCGTACACCGTCAAAGATGACGCCAGGCGAACTGGGGGGTCTTTCTTTTTCCCTTTTTTTTTTTTTTTTTTTCTTTTTGTATGTCTAGCATGGCGCCCCCGGAGGGACTCGCCTCAAGCGTTGCCCTTTTTCCAATAAGCTAGGCCTCCATGGCGTATCATGGGTACAGGCCATTGTTGTAGCACATCACCGTCAAGCGTACATACACGCTCATATGGTATCATAATCCAGCGATTCTACTCAGACCCTTTCGCTCTACGATCTTCCTGTAATATATTCCTTCTACCCCCGTCCAGAACGCTCGCGAGAAATGACAGGATAACGCTCGTGTGTGTGTACTCTCAAGGCCTCGCGTTGCTCGTTGTATACCAGTACCATCCAAGACCCACCGCCAGCAAGGTGCCCAGGGCCAGAACCCCTTCCCATGTCGTCCCAATCATCATGCCCCATCCGACCATAACCTCCTTCCTCCTCGCCGCAGCTCTTCTCTCCCACGCTTCAGGGTCAATCTCCAGCGGCAACTTAACCCTCGGATCATCGCTCTCATGCAAGAGGCTACACTCCATATCCTCAGGGCTCAACAGCGGCACTGACGCCCGGAGGTACACTGCCCGATGGTCGCTTGAGGCGATCACGGGCATGGCGTCGTATCCTTTCACATCAACCTTGTGGTCCACGGACGATGGTGTATCCAGGTAGAGCACCCGATCCGTCCAACCGGGGTACCTGTGCGGCGCGAAGCTCCACTTGGGCGACTCGTCATCCTTGCCCTTGGCCTTCACCACGTATTTGTACGTTGGGGGAAAAGTGACCTTGGCCTCACTCAGCCCATGCAAGGTCCGCCCAGCGGCCTTCTCCCGGGTGAGTTGATCCAGATGCCAAAAGTGCGTATAGTGGTGCTCCGAGTCCGGATCCACGCTGGGGAACGACGCGCCCACGGGAGGTGAGGTTGTCGAGATGCGGTAGTTCAAGTCGCCCGCGACAAACAGGTGGGAGGACGGCCTGAAGACAGATATCGCGTGCAGTTCTTTCTGCAGCCGCGCATGGTGGTTCTCGTCGTGCAGGAGGCTCCTCGTCTCGCCATTGTCCTCGACCGAGGACAGCCTGCGCGCCTTGGCGACAACGTCTTCTGGGTTGCCAAACGTGAGGCCTCGGACGATGGAGGCCCAGTTGGCGTTGCGACGCGCGAGATTCCACTCCATGGCCGCCAGGTGTGTCGCCACAAACGTGACCTGCGTCTCCTGCCCATCGTCTGCCTCGAACAGCATTCTCAGCCCCACGGCGCCCTTGTTGCCCATGTCGGCGGCTCCAAACCCAATCTCGGCCTCCCGCACGTCCTTGATCTGGTCTGGGTTCCGTGCCAGGAGCACAATGGCCGTGTACCCCACATTGCCGCTCTTGACGATGCTGTATGGTTTCTTGGGTCGATCTGCTGGCGGGGTCTGTGTCACGGAGACGAAATCCGCGTCGCGTTGGTCGTCGAGAATGTTCAGCGCAGCGAGGTTGACGGCGTCTTCGAAGCGGGTGAGGTATGGGTTAAGGAAGTATCCTCCCACAAAGGAATGCCCCAGCGGCGCGACTTCTTGTAGAGAGCTTTCTCGTATCAGTCGGGGTCCCAGTGCATGGTGAACAGTTTGCTTACAAGACTACGACGTCGGGCAGCGTCGACCCGCCGCCCTCTTTCAGCAGGGCTGTCTGGAGATGCTTCGCAAAGATGCCCACGTTGATGAGCTCTTTTGCACAATTCAGGGTCAGGACTAGGAGGTCGAGTGCTGAGGGCGCCATGTCGGCTTGAGCTCTGGTCGTGACCATGGTTCTGGTCATTCGAACCCAGCGCCCAAGGGGAAGATGATTGACGATGGTTGGTGGGGATGAGATGGGCGACACTCAGAGGGCGAAGTCGTGAACGGGAACGCCCACCTGTGTGCCGATAGGATCCATGCACGTCCCTTCCAACACGCCCACGATCCCGCCCTTGGAACCGACGCTACGCCGGGTATGGACGAGCCGACAACTTGCATCGAGCAATGCTTTTGATGCTGCATGGACGTACGCAGAAAGTGTTTTGAGTCATAGCCCTCTGTATTAGCATATTGAGGGTATGTTTGTTAAAAAGATAAATAGAAAAGACGCGGGGCATCTACGCTTCATCAACGGAAGCTAGCTTAGGTGGTCCAGCCAACAGTCCCAGCGCAAATTTTAAGAGCACAATCACGCAAGCAAAGTATCCTTCAACTGTTCCACGGCATTTGCAGTTAGAACGCCGGCTTATCTAATTGGGGTCACATTTGACCATGCTGGAACATGTAGCACAACGCGGAGACACAGAACGGCACGGGTAATAGCTAATTGTGTGAACTACCAATCTCGTAAGGCATGCAATCGGCCAGTCTTCGGGGGAGATTTGTGCTGTGAAGGGCGTGGCCCATTGTGACAGATCGGCTCGGGCCTGCAAAGACTTGTGCTGCTAGACAGCTCGATTGACTGGAAGTCTTGACGCAGCCCGTGGCTCGATTGGGCGGCCATACTCCGCGTCACCAAGGAATGCCGCGAAGCTCGTCTACGTTCCAGGCGAACCTTTGATCCTCAAAATCCCAAACTGTGACTGCTGCACCGGTATGCGGCGGGGCTTCCAAAGCTGGCCCCGAGCAACAGATCGGCCGACTATTCGAGACTTTCCTCCCCACACCCAGGATCCGTGATGCCAGTGCCATAGACGAAGTGAGAGAGGGCGGGGAAAAGCACAAAGTCACCGAAGACATGTATGAAAGTAGGAAATGTTCGACCAAAAGACGCTGCTGAACCGCATCGAAGCGCTTGGTTTGTCGACTCGATCTGCACCGAGGCGGCAGATGCAGCCGCGATCCGATGCTTACGGTGTTCCTAGCCAGGAAGAACACCGGAAGAGCCGTTCAGACTGACCCCAGAGTCCCGGTGCCTGTGATTGGCACGCGGCTTTTGCAAGCCACCTACCAGCACAGTCCATCCGGAAATCTGAGTCGTCCGAGCCAATGCATCCTCAAATCTGAGGCGAAGAACATAATTTTGCAGCGCATAAAGAAAATGAGCAGCGTGATCGATGCCGGTCTACCAATATCGCCAACATTGCTCGTAGCAGTCTGTTGACGTTGTGTCAACTTGGTTTGCCGGTGACTGCATCGTGTACGGAGTAAAGGTCGATTTCTGGTAGTATAGCAGAGGCCGTCGATTCTATCGCCAATTGCTCAAGTGGTCCTGCATGATGGAGGAGGGAGGGCTGGGTTCAAACATCATTTAGGGCGGGAGACGTAGCCAGTGCCCTTTGATGCTGAGCGGAGCCTGTTCATTGTCCACTGAGTCAGCAATACTTGTCAGCAAATTTCCCTTCGGCAAAGCGGTATAAAGCACACTCAACGCGCGAAAGGAAATGAGATTCCTTCTTGCGGGAGCAGAGAAGGGGAGACAGCAAGGGGTACTCACATCCTGTCACTTCCACCGATGGCACGGCCAGTGTCGGGGGAGTCGACTCCGGCACCAGAGCCACGCTCAAGCATCTTACGCCGGGAACTGTTGATAGCAGGAGCGGCCTTGGAGCCGGACGCGCCAGCAGCGGCGTTGCGGGCGGCACGAGCCTTCTCCTCGTCCTCGGGGTTCTGGGCAGCCTGAGCAATGGCCTGGGCGTTCTTCTGGTACTTGTAGACAGTCCAGTCAAAAACGTAATCGTACTGGAAACCCTCGCGGACAAACAGATCGCGGAAGATCTTGCGGAGGTAGCTGTAGTCGGGCTTGTCGTCAAAGCGGAGAGAGCGGGTGTAGTTGAGGTAGATGGCGAACTCGTTGGGGAAGCCACGGCAGAGAACCTCGGTGGGGGTGGTCATCTTCTTCTCCATGATGCGGTCGTACTTCTGCTTCTTGGTGGCAGCCTTCAGACCCTGCCAAGGCAGGGAGCCACGGCAGAAGTAGAGCATGACGTAGCCCAGCGACTCCATGTCATCGCGGCGAGACTGCTCGACACCCAGATGAGTGTTGATGGAAGCGTAGCGTGCAGTACCGGTCAAGTTCTTGTTCTCACGGTAAGGGATGTGGAAGTGAGTCTTGGGGTCGCGGTACTTCTTGGCGAGACCAAAGTCGATGACGTTGACTTGGTTTCCTCGCTTGCCGATACCCATCAGGAAGTTGTCGGGCTTGATGTCGCGGTGGATGAACGACTTAGCGTGGATGTACTCGATGCGCGAGATGAGCTGGTCGGCTAGGAGAAGAACAGTCTTGAGCGAGAACTTGCGGTTGCAGAAGTTGAAGAGGTCCTCCAGACTGGGACCGAGCAGATCCAGGACCATGGCATTGTAGTCGCACTCAGTGCCGAACCAGCGGACAAAGGGGATACCAACGCCGCCGGCAAGGGACTTGTAGACACGTGCCTCATACTCCAACTGGGGGTGCTTGGCCTTGACGGACTCAAGCTTGATGGCAATCTCCTCTCCAGAAATAATGTTGGTGCCCAGGTAAATATCTCCGAACGAACCAGAACCAATCTTCCTGCCGATGCGGTACTTATTACCGACGCGGAGATCCTGTATTTCTTGTCAGTACACACGAACCCTGTGTTTGCGGTGGTTTGTTCGGATCGAGTCGGCGTACCATTGTTGTCATGATGAGGTCGGTGGTCTCGATCCGCGGGGGAGCGAGGCAGTGATAGGTGTGTATTAATCAATGGGTATGTAGATACAAGCTTGCAGGCTGATGGCTAAAGCAAGGTTAGCAGCACATTCGAGGACCGATCGTAGTTATGGATGAAGGAATGGATGGACGGATGCAGGAGGAAAAAGGTTGGTTGGGTGACGGTGTGTGCGAAACCCAATGCGTGTCCGCATCATCAGGCAAACGTGGCTGATTGACAAGGTCGGGTAACAGTGACAGCGAATCCAAGTCGGACCAAAAATGTGTTTACTATGCCTGCCGCGCCGATGGCATCACAGCAAAGTGCAGCGAGGCAGGCGGTGATGTTTCCAGGCAATGGAAGAGGCTGACGTACCTGCAGTGGCTTGGGATTGAGGGAACAGGTCAGACGCGTCGGCGAAAATCTGGCGATGCCCTCAATCGGGGGGTCGTGGGTGCAGAGGTTGAGAAATGGGACTCGAACCTCGAGAGAGTTGAGGAACGCGAAGTCACAATGTGTGTGGCGTGGGTCGGCAGGAGGGAGTTTTGAGAGTGGTGTGGAGGTAGGTCGATTACGAGAAGCGAGGGAGGGAAGAGGACGGGAGAAGAAGAGATTGATGAGAGGGCGGCAAGCGGGACTGGCTGGAGGCGAAGACTGGAAGGGGGAAGGGGGCGGCGGGCAGGCCGGCTTGGAGTCTGGTGCTCGTGAGCCCAAGCACCGGCCGGCGGCGATTGAATACAGTGGACTGGAAAAGTCCACAGGGCCTCTACTGGCACCTGATGGAGGTTGGGCAGCTGACGACCACACGGACACAGTGGCTGGGACCGTCTCGAAAGGGCGCGTACGACCGGATCAGCATGGATTCACCCTAAAAATGCTGGGCGCTGTCGCAGCCATTGCGGTTTTGAAAGGTACTCCGTAAAACAAGTGCTTGCAGGATAAGAAGTCATCGTTGCACCGACAAAGTGTGATGTCCCTTTACGAGGCAAGCCTTCTTTCCTCCTTCCGCCATGCCGGCCATCTTTTGGGTTGTTAAGTCTTTGGGCTTCAACATTGGGCTTCTCAGCAGTGGGTCGCGTCTTATGAGACATGCTAAGTTCTCACTGACCACGTTCGTCTGGCTGCCAGCCACCTGGGTTGACCCTTGGATTCGAATATTCGTTACATTGAGGTACGGTGCCGGCCCCTTTTCTCGCTTGCTAACTTAGTTGCGCCACTTTGCTCACCGACTCGTGGGTGCGTCAATTGCCAATTTACTACATATCCGTACCGAGGAGGAGGAGGGAGGTACTTGTGTCAGGGCAATCTGCGGATGCCAAGACCTTGGGACTCACAGCACTTGCAGTCTGCAGAAACAAGCTGACAGTTGAGAAAAGGGACCATGTTCGGCCAACACTGATATCCTTTCCATCCAGAATGATAGCGACCTGCATATGCAATCCGCCCGTTACCGTCTCTCGTCGCCGAACAATCATCAGCGTGCAGTCAACGGCCGGGTCGCGAAGTCTGACTGGCGAGAGTGAACAAATATGTATGATGAAGTGGTTGCTGACTCGCGAGGCTCGCGGCGTATCCGTAACACAGCACCGAGGCTCATAGTAATATGCCGTGGTACGTTCAAAGGAGCCTAATCATCACGCTGTACGGAGTAACACCTTTCAGTCGCCGCTGGGCCTGCCTAATAAAGCTGTCACAGGACCAGTGTTGCCGATCGATCTGCAGGTCACGCTTGTGCGTCAAAATCCACCGTCACCTCTTTGGGGGTTTGCACTTTACTTCTCGATAACGCAACCACTATCGTCAAAAATAGCCATCACTGCAGCTTGTATGTACGTAGGTGTGTACCCGTTGACGGCCCTCAGGCAACGAGACCAGCCATTCCTCCTGGCGCCATCGGTGAAACCAGCAAATGGAAAAACAACGACGAAGCAACCGAGAATGCCTATCTGTCCAGCACCCGCCACCTCCTCTCACTTACACCGCATCAACGACACCGCCTCGACGGCTTGGCATCGCCCTTCTGAGACTACAGACTGCCTTCTTTGGAGACCATTTACCCACGTCTAGGAGCCTTATTATCCTCTCCAAGGTGCTCTCACGTAACAAAGCCTCTTTGCTCGAAAAGCTAGCAGCCCTCTTGCTTCTTGTGAGCCAGTCAGCTGGTCAACGCCTTACCCCTCACCACCTGGACCTGCACTGACCTCATCCACGGATCTCCCAACATTGAGGGCTCACCGGTGAACGAATTTGAATGATACTCTGTACTACAATCGGTGTGAAAGCTGCCCTTTTTGCAACCTCTACAGTACAAACAGCTTGACACCTTCGAATAAGTTGCGGCCCGCCTCTCAGAGGAGGGGAGGGTCCACATATTCTGGTCGGTGATGGCGGCTAATGCGTACTTTTGTTGCAACTTGCCAAAGCCTATCAACGTCGTGATGCCGAAAATAGGATCATCTGTGGGAAGGCATATATGCACGTTGCAGGACGCAGTGTCCAGGGCTGGAACACGTCGCACGCCTCGCTAAAGACATGAGGCAAGCTTCAAGGCGCGCACAAGTATGCACAGTAACCAGTTTCAAAATCACATTCAGGATATGTAGCCCGGTGCGGCCATAATGTACGGAGTACGCGGGCGATAAATTACAATTTGGTCCACGCAGCTCTTTTTATGCCTTGGCAGACGGCGAAAGTAAGTCGAGACATGTCGATCATCCCTTCTAGACTCCGTCTGGTGCTCCGGCACAGGCGGGCGCGCATGGGTCACGTGGACATTCGGAGGATCGGTACGTACCTTTTCAAATTGTGAGTCTGGAGGGGCATGTTGAATCCCGGGTAGGTCAAATGGATATATCCCCGTGGCCTACTAAATACCAACATGCAATACAATGCTATGTAACATGTGCTATGATAGATCCGCTCTTGCGTACATGACTCGATTTTGAAGACTAAGGCCTCGGTCCGGGAAGTGGTGGACCTTGAGGGTGGGCATATTGCGGCTGGGCATATTGCGGCTGCGGTGGGTAGTGCCCCTGAGGCGCCTGTGACTGTGCCTGTGCCTGTGCCTGTGCCTGTGCCTGTGCCTGTGCCTGTGCCTGTGCCTGTGCGTGAGGCGGGCCGTGATATGGCTGTCCCGTAACATATGACCCAGACAACGGCGGTCCCGCGTAGCCTGACTGCCCCCCATGATACCCATACTGCCCGGGCTGCGGTCTGTATTTCGGATCGGGATGGTTCTGCAAGATTTCGCCCACCTTGCTCTCCACGAGCTTATTAGTCTTGTCAAGCCATTTCTTGGCCGAGCCTCCGAACAATTTGCTGGTCCCGGCGGTGGATGGTCGTGAGTAGCCTCCCGGGGGGGGTTGATGTTGGGGCGCATATTGCGTTTTCGGAGGCGCCGGGTACGCTGCTGGCACTGGCTGCCCAGAGAAGCCAGGGACTGGCCGCGGTGGTCCGCCAGAAGAGCTTGGTCTGGGTGGGAGAGGCGGGGGCGGATGAAGTGAGCTGCCTGAGAGTGGTTGGAGGGTCGCACTTCCGTACGATGCATGGCTAACGGGCGGCGAAGGCCGATGAGAAGTGACCTGTGTCGGCTGCGGAGGGGACTGATGCCCATGTGGAGTCTGCGGTGCCGAGAGAGATGACGGCGCTTGTGGGAACAGGGAGGCCTTCACGTCTCCCTGGAGCCGTGTACTTGATTCAGAAGGTTCAATGTCGGCATAAGCTGGTGGTGGAGAGCTTGGAAGGGTGGGTTCGTTGGGGAGTGTAGCGAACTTGGATGGTTGTGGTGATGTTGGCAGACCTGAATGAGATGTCTGGTATTCTGCTCGTGGCGAGCTCGTTGATGAAGCAGCCGCCGCCGGCGCAACGGAGTATGGTTGGGGCGTGCGTCTACCGGCGTTCAGGACAGATGGCGACTGTGAAGATGGCGGCGGCGGCGGCGAATGTGCATAGTTGCGACCTGGAGAGCCGGCGCCGGGACTTGGGAATGTCGGCGACAGAGATTGCTGGTAGGCATCTGCAGGAGTTTTCGGAGAGGATGCTGGAGGTGAGTGAGAAGGCACAGGCGGCACTGCGCCTTGCGGATGAGGCCACGAGACATTGTCCATTGGCCGCGGTGACGCTGCTGGAGATGCTCCGTGAAAAGGTGCACCTCCAAGCCCCGGACTCAGACTTGGTGGAGCATGCTCCGGGGCTCCAGGTTTTGGTGCCATATGTACATGATGGGGCGCCATGCCTTCAGGATACGGCTGCGCAGCCAGCGAGCCTACTAACGCCTCGTGCTGTGGTCGTGGAGAGGTATGTCCTGAGGATGGTCCAGGGTATCTCTGCTCCTCCTGCGGCGGCTCCTTGAAGGATGGTCGACGATACGGTCTATAGGCCACATTGGCGGTCATGGCTCCAGTCATGAAAGTACTGCTGGTATCCTGGTATCGGGAAGGTTGTGAAGCATCGCGATTGTCCATCTCGGGCGAATATGGCTTGTATGGCTTGTACTTCCACGAAGTGGTGCCTTGCAGTGGTGGAGACTGAGGCTGAGGCTGGGCTGGCTTGTTGATAGTCAACGGCGGCGGGAAATACGCACTGGATCCAGCAGAGGGACTGACTGGGCTCACAGTCTCCGGTCGTAGATTTGATGGATAATCGGTTGCCGAGACGCTCGATTCGCCAGTCATGGTGGGCGCCATGGTCTCTGGGCCGTATCCTGCGTGACCTTGGCGTCCATCATGCTCCGTCTTTGTAGCCGTCGCCGCGGCGCTATTGCTCGCGGAATCGTGACGCTCTGCCGGTGGTCGGTTTGTGGGTGTCGGCGTGACTACGGACGAGCTGTCGTCGTTTGGCCCAAAGTATGCCCAGGGGTTGGCCTGGGCTGGGGTGTCGGAGTTTTGTCGCTCGAATTTCTTGGGCTGGCTGTGGCTGTCGACTTGGCTGTTAGGAGATGGCTCTGCCGGCATCTCAAAGACGGGCGCGCCATCTGGCGACGCGTGTGGGATACCGCCATCGAGTTCTGCGACGAAGAGTGGTGGGGGGTAGCTGCCACCGGGATGATGTCGTTGGTGGTGCGGCTCCCGCTGTCGTTCGGCTTCATGCGCCATGCTGGCTCGCGCTGGAGCAGGAGCTGATTCTGTCGAGGTCGCAGTAGGATGCACGTTCGCAAGGCGATGTGTACTCGAGATTGCTGGGCTATGTCACGTCATGAGGATAGACGAGCGGTTGATGGAGAGGTCGCGCGAGGGCATGGACTGGAGGCACGTGCTGGTGGCAGGCACTTACTCCCCTGCCGCCACACCAGCTCCAGCTCCATGTCGAGGCTCAGCTCGAGCCAGCCAGGCATGCAGTGATCATTGCAGTACCCTTGAAGTGATCCCGGTCTCGTTATCAGTCTCGTCCATCTTGGCGGCGCTGAATCCGGTGTCCATGTCGATCAAAACTTTATTTCTTCGCACTCATGAACGCAATGCCATTGTTTTGTGGTTCTACCCCGTTTCCCTGTCGTCATGGCGTCTTTCTCAGCAGGATGGTACGCATAGCATGGCAGCCTCCAACAAACTCGACTACAGCGTTCCAAGAGGCAGAATGGATCTTCAACACTCTAATAATAAGTGGTTCGATGATTTACTTCTAGCAGATTGAGTGATGCTGCAGCTTAGTCGCCCATGCAAAAGCCCCAACAACATCACATGCAAATCCAGCCTGTACATCACCATATCTTCCACGACGTTCACCGACTGAGGTGAGAGATAATTAGATAGGGATCCAAGACGAATATGTACTGGATCAGTGTGTAGTTAGCATATTCTCATTCGGGCTCATTCGACTTCTATCCGATCGTGCGCCAATGACTCGATCACATGCATCATCGTCAGTGTGATCACGCGCGAACTCCCACATCAGGGACAGGACCACGACACCACGATCGAAAACTCTATTGGCATCATTGAAATTCCCATAGGGGCGCCGTTATCCCATCCACAATAACGCTATGTGTCTTTCATTATTTCTACTCAATCTCCATCGGATCCCCCCCTCCTTCTAATCGTCGTCACGCTGCGTGTCATGGCACAAAAGCCCCCCTCTATAACGCTCGACTCTGTGCCCATCCATTCATACAATCTCTACCTCCTTTTTCTTTAGTGTTTTTTCCTTCAGATCTAGACTTTCTTTTTCCCAAGTGGAGCAGAACCAATCAACACCATAGACAAGAAGCCAGATCTATACTCGTGCCAACGCGGGAAAATGTGGTAAAGAGAGACTCAATAATATTGGCACGTGAAGCCAGAAGATCGACGCAATGTGTCGTCATTCGCAGAATGGTATCGTAAAAGCAGTGTAGTTCGCGCGGAAATTGTGTTGTGTCAGTATGTTCCGGGAAATTAATTTTTTTTTTTTTTTTTTTTTTTTTTTCCCGCCAGACAGGACAAAAAGCAGCCAGGTCAGGTAACCCATCGCCGCACTCAGTCGTCCCTCTTCTCGCGGCGGCTCCCACGCTCAGCCCAGTGCCGCCGGCCCCGACGGGTCTCGTAGTGCGGTGCGACAGCCCGCACATCAGCCTGCGCACCCTCGATCGCCGTGCGCGTCTTGTTGCGGTAGCAGTCGAGCGCCCGCTGGAGGAAGATGGTCCGTCCGGAGAAGACGCGGCTCTGGAGCCATGCCATGCGGTAACCGAGATCGTTCAGCTTCGTCTCCTGCGCGCGGGTGGTGCGTCGCGTCCGAGGAATCGCCACCTCGCTGCCGTCGCGGTCGCTGCCCATGGGCACCTTGACCATGCGCGTGCGACCCGGACGACCGACCTGGCGGCCCTCCGTCTCCTGGATGCCGTCGTCCTCGACGTCCTCGGGGAAGAAGTGCGAGCCCGTGGCGCTGGGCGGCGGGCTTTGCATCTCGCGGGGGAAATAGCTACGTGGGAAGACGCTGCCGCTCTTGCGGAAGCTGTCGGGGATCTCGTTAGTGTCGACGCCGTCGAGGGTGACGCGCACGCGCAGCCGCGAGCCGCGCACATTGTCCTCGACGAGGATGAACTTGCGCTTCCTCGCCTCTGGGACGTCGGGGAACAAGCCACCCTGGTCGTCGGCAGCGGCTCGCTCGTGACGGCGCGCCGGGACCGCGGCGCTGGAATGTGGTGCCATGTGAGACATGGAGCCTCCGGGGCCGCTAGCAGGATAGCCCTGGCTGGCGTAGCCGGTGAAGACCTGCGCCTGTCTCACGTCGTCGGCACTACCATGCTGACCGTGGGTCGGGGGCGCGGCGTGATGGTGGTTGTGGTGATGAGCTTGTTGAGCCTGGTGATGATCATAAGAGTGTCCCTCTCCTATTGCACAAGTCATAGTTAGCGCCGCGTCTAGTGAGTGTTCTAAAGTCAGAAGCAATGAGGTTGAGTACTAGGTGTGCAATGAGGAGCGGAAAAAGCAAAGGCAAGGAAAGAAAGCAAATTGGCCTCGTCCAAACGGGGGATGATCGCCTTGGCGATATATGTACAAGATGTTGTAGGAGGTATGCATCTTGCAGAACAAATTCTTCAGTTAAGTCCCCCAGATTCCATAAGTCCCCCAGATTCCATAATCTCACTTGTTCTCGTGCCCGTTCGCATCTCCCGTTGCCATTCTTTGACTCGCCCTCGATCTCTTTCTCTAACATCCACCTACAGAAGAAAATAATACTAGAGCACGCGGTCGTAGTATACAAAAGAGGCCCTGCCTGTATTGACAAAGAAGAGAAGATGTGATGGAACGAGTACTTTTTTTTTTCCCAACGACGAATGTGAAGTGACATGGTATCGACAAGCAGTGACAACTCCAATAATAACAGCAAGCAAGCAAAGCAGGACAGTGACGCGCGAGACGTGGGGGGGGGGCAACAGAGGGGTATATGTGCAGCGCGGTATAGGCGCAATGCAATGCAAGAAGTAACAGATAAACATCCGCATGGGCTCGTGTTAAATATCACATCTGGTGGTGGAACATACCAACTTCATCGGCCCCGCCCTGGGCACCGTCGTGGTGGCTTCCCGGGTGGTGGTGGTGGTGCATGGGTTGCTGACCCATGCCAGCCAGGCTGGGCTTGCCCATGGGGTTTCCGGTCGACGACGCCATGGGTCCGGGTCCGGCGGGCATCCCTGGCTGGCCGCCGGGCACCGTGGTCATGGATGCGGACGCGGGGTGCGGTGACGACGCAACGGACTTGCGCGTGTTCATCTTGGCCATGCGGCGCACCCTGCGACTCCGTAGCCGGGGGTCCGAGTTGCTGTTCCGCCAGCTGTCGACGGCTCTCTGGATCAGACCTCGCTTGCCCCGCAGGGGCATGTTGAGATGGGCCAACGCCCATCCCACGCGGTTGCAGTCCGTCTCGTACATCAAGCGGTTTCCGCGGTACTGGTCCTTGGGGCAGCAGGCGCGCGGGTAGACGCAGTTCTCCTGCTTGAACTCGGGTGACAGGCTCTCCGTGTCCACCGACTCGACGTCGCACCTGATTGTGTACTCCATCTTAACCCGATCTCGCGAGTACTCGAACGCAATCCATTGCACCCCGTTGCCGTCTTGCCTGACGACGGGAGGCGTCGTGGCCGGGATGGGACCCGGCGCCGCGTTGGGGTTGACGCCCGCCGCGCCACCGCCCGGGCTCTGGAGCTGCCCCTGCTGCTGCCCGTTCTGGGGGTGGTGATGCTGAGGCATGGGGGAGGACTGCGGCTTGTGCAGCTGTAGAGGCACCTGCGGCTCGATCTTGGGCCGGGGGCTGTGGGTCATGGCCTGCTGCTGAGTATGCTGCGGGTGCTGGGGATGTTGCGGGTGCTGCTGCTGCGGGTGCTGAGCGTGCTGAGGCGCATGCTGGCTCATGGGGTTGTGAGGAGCAGGATGCGACATCATCATGTTCGGTTGCGACGTCATGGGCTGCTGCGGGTGCTGCGCATGTTGGGCGTACGGCGAGGCGCTCGGTTGCGGTGGCATAGACTGGTACTGAGGCTGGTGGGGGTAGTACATGGACTGCTGCATGTGTTGCGACGGTGGCTGGCCGTAGATGCTTCGGTGCTGGTCATGCTGCGAGGGCGAGGGCACCGAGGCAGGCGAGTTGCTCTGCGGCGTGTGGTACGACATGGGCGGGTAGGGAGGGCGCGGCATCTGTGCTGCGGCCATCATCTCGGAGGTGTCTGTGCGATTTGTCAGTCGGTGCTCCTTGTCCCCGTATCCTCGAGTCTCCCCCAACTGCTCCGATTGACAAGAGGCCAGGACGCGTCTCTCGGCGCGCCTGCTCTGCTGTGCTCTTGCTCTGCTGTGCTCTTGCTCGGTGCAGTCGGACGTGGTCACGTACCTGCGGAAGCGTATCCGCTGTTCGCGCTCGGGGTGTTGTAGGAGCTGTGGTGGCCGTAGTAGGAGGGAACGGTGGCGTCTTGGGCGTGGTGGGCGTGGTGGGCGTGGTGGGCGTGGTGGGCGTGCTGGCCGTTGGTGTGAGGCTGGTACGGTTGGGCAAGCGAGTGACTGGTCGAAGAGGAGTATCCGCCCTGGTGAGAATGCTGAGCCGCTGCTGGCTGGGCGTGGTGAGGATGCTGCTGCTGCTGCGCGTGGTGAGGCTGCGACGCGGCCACGGGCGGAGGCGGGTGAGCTGCCTGAGCGTGGTGCTGCTGGTGGACGACGCTCGAGGGTCGCGAGTGGTGCTGCAGCTGAGCAGGCGAAGGACCTTGTGGCTGATGCTGCGCCGGATGCTGCATGGAGAGAGTCCCGCGTTAGTGATCGGTCGTCGACATGTAACACGACTCGACTCTATAGACTAGGCAGGCAAGGAAAAGATGGAAAGGCAAGGACGCGATGGTGTTTTGTAATGGCCCCCCGGGCGCTGTCAGGGTCCGCGAGCTGTGGTGGAGCGGGTCCAGTCTCCCCTGGTTCGCCTGCTTGCTTGGGTGCTGACTGGGATTGCGCGGGTGAGCGGACTAAAATATTAGACCCAGAACCCAGAATTATCAGGACCCAGCACAGAACGGGACAGAACCAGAGAGGCACAAGCTCACTCTGCAATCACCAGCCCGTCCCAGGAGACTGGGCTGGGTACGCGAGCACGAGGTGAGGTGAAGGTAATGAAGGTTCCCTGGTCGAGAAGGTGAAGAACGTGTGCAAGGTACACACAGTGTGTGCAAGGCGGACAGGTGGAGGACAGAACAGGGACTATGGGAGCGAGAGAGCGAGAGAGATGGTGAGCCTTACACAGGTAACAGTGGCAGAATGTCGAGCTTGTCGCGAGACTGGATGCCGAGTGCAAAGAGCTTGCTTCCTAGGGCCGTCGTTGACCAAGAGCTTCGTGTTTTCTTCTCGTCCTCTTCTTTTTCGAGTGCCTTGAAGCTCTCGTAGCGATCGAGTAGGTGAGATCGCGATCGTGGTGTGGGTTTGTATGCCTGGTTGACAGTGACAGTGACAGTAACAAGGACAGCGACGGGGGGGGGCCAGAAGAGACGAAGAAGCAGGGGACAGGATATTTGAACCAAGATTATGGGGGAGGATTGGGGCGCGGTAGGATCTGGAGTGGGTTGTCAGACGGCGGGATAATGAACGTGTGATGGGCTCCAAACGGACGGGGGCGCGTGGTCTGAAAGGGACAGGACAGTCAGGACTCACCAGGACAGGACAGGAGGCGTCGAGGTTCAAACGTGGAGTCTGTCTCTATCCTGTCACTTTTCCCGATGTGATATCGTTTAATGAAATGACAGGCTCCAGTTCTGTCATGCACCGGGAAATGCCGACAAGCAGGCACCTCTGGTCAAGCAGCTCTGTACAGTAGGCTTCCAAGCTCAACGAGCCGTCTTGTCGGGAGCATGTGTGGCATCATGCCTGCCCGCCAGTACTTGATTTTGACGGGCAGCCGAGAGCTCGTCATTGCCGTCATCCAGCAAGACCCATGAGAAAAGAAAGGCAGGCAAGGAACATGCTTGACGAGGACAGCTTCGTCGTCTCTCCAGTCCTCGCCCACTGTAGAAACAGGGGGCCAGGCTAGCTGGCCATGACCTGGGCCAGGACAGCCGGAGGGCTGCCAGGATGTTTGACTTGGGGATGGGCAGGGGGCCTTTGAAGAGGGGGCGTGCATGCAAGGCAAGGCTGGTAAGATTGCTCAGATGCGCATGGCAGAAGCGCAACAGGGGCTGGGCGACTGTCCACCCAGTGACCAATGGCTGCCGTCGTGGCCCCCGTCGGGCAGCGCTCGAATGGAACAGCTGCCAAATGGAGAGTCCACAACCGGGTCTAGTCGCGGACAGGGATCACGCCGGGTTTGGCTGCTCCATCTCCTGGTCTTGCTGGATGGATGCTTGCTTGGCGCGTCTCTCCTGGTTGGGCGGTGTGGGTTCGGCATGGGTCCCAGAAGCCCCTTGTATTTCTCCAGACGCCGTCGTCACGCCAGAGCAGAGCAGAGGCCACAGGTCTGGGCTCGTTTGCTCGTTGGTGACCTTTCGGTTATTTCACATATACGACGACGATGACGCAGGTACCGTAGGAACAAGCCGATAAGTATTTGGTCTATTCATAATAGGTGAGGAAATGCGGTCGTGCTGCTAACATGGTTCGATTGTCGACAGACAAAAGGCTCGGTCTCCATGGTGGAACCCCGTCCGGGACTCGCGCGATGACTACGTGGACTAGTGACTTGTTGGTCTCCTGCCACGCACGAGTGAGTGCTTGTCTGCTATCCGTGTGTTATAATAATAACGAGGTGATAATAATCAAGCGCTTGTGCGCATCAGACAAACGTCGCGAGCTCTTGCCGTTGTACGTGGTGCTTCACTGCTTGCGGCGCAACCTGCAGCCTCCCAAGCAGCCTCGAGGTACTGTAGCCTTCGGCTCCGAGCAAGCTGAGATCGGCTGGAGCGCACATGATTATCGCAAGACGCTTGTGAATGGTGACACGGCATCATCAGCGGCCAAGTAGACGTTATGAACACCGGCGTCTCGGATCATCTCCCAGCGAAAACGCTGACGTCTGGACGCAGGCTGGTGTGATTTGGGGTGAATTTCCCAACCAGTACGCGCCTGTGATCGAGGCTGTTCTCGATCTCTCATGTTCCTCCGGCCCTTTTGTCAGTGACCTCCGATAACTTGACCTCCGAACTTTTCCACCTCACCTTTCAACTAGGTGCTGGCAGAAGCTCCCTTCCAATCTGCCAACAGTGGACGGTCCTCGCACGCACGCCGCGTGTGGCTCATGCTCCACCCAATGCACAGGAGCTCGACGGAACCGCATTAGTGTAATTTCGTTGGCATTGGGTCGCACTCCACTGTCGGTCTGGCGCAGTGGCGTTGACACGTTGACACGTTGACACTGCCGTTGATGCGCAACGCCGCAAAGGGACTTTTCAAAAAAGGTCGTGGTCTAACGTTAATTAGCCGTTCTCCTTTTGTCGTCAGTCGACACGCTAAAAAGGATACCTTAGGCATGAAGTCCCCGCCGTTCCGATCCTTCTTGGCTCTGTTGGGGAAGGAACAAACAATAGCGACAGATGCCTTGAAGATTCCTAATTGGGAAAATGTCCTGTTCGGGAGACCAAGGTCCGCTCACGATTGTGTGATGAGGCAGGCTAGCACGAGCTCAGTCTAGCAAACTAATCATTGTGATGAGGTGTTAATAACACGCAGTGGCTTGCCTCGGTTTCCGTAATTGGGCATGCTTCACGGCTACTGGAAGGTGGCTGAGATTCCGGTCTCCGTCGCTGACGTCGGATGTCGTCCCAGACCGGGAGGCTGGAGGCTGGAGCTGTCAACCAGGCTTGCTTGTTCATGTTGACGGGGCCCCTGCCTCGTTGGTGGACTTGCAACCGTTAGCAAGCCCCCGGCGCCCCAGTCTTTGGAACGGCGACGCAGGCAAGCGCGAACGGCCAATGCTACCTCTTGGTAGAACCAGAGCGCCGGTATTTGATATCAAGCGCATGAAGCTTCTATAAGCACGAAGCCGAGCTTGCTGCTCGCAATTTGCCAGAAAGGCACTGGCATTAAATGGCAGCACTACTACCGTCGGTGCCGACAGCGAACAACATGCGGCTGTCCGTCTCGCAATGACACGTACGTTCCTCGCTCCCCTCTGCCACTGAATTCTTCAATACGGAATATTAGTGTATACTCATTGACACGTATAGAGAATCGGCAGCTGCTGATCCACTATCGGAGCCATTTGCGGGCACGGCGTCCGAAAGTGAAACACACAGGCTCCCTTGTAATAAAACGTGCGGCCCCAAATGAAGATGTTGGTGGGCTGGTGGCACGAGTCAATCTCGGCCTGTGACGGGTCGCGGATCGACTGACCGACCAGCACAGTCGCTCGCAGGTGCTGGTAACACGTGAACATTCATTTTCTCGAATAAGCGAATTCTGGAATGAAAGGCGAAGAGTGGAAGAAGATGAAGAAGATGTGAATCATGATCGAAAGGCTGAGGTCCATGCCTTGACAGTCTTTGAGGCTTAGTGGTATAGGTCTAGCTTCTTGTGACTACCTTCTATCATTGATCTCTTGCCCAACCTCCATATCGTCTTTGCGAGCATTCGCGACGGCTGCATCTCTATATCTGTAGATTTTCTTTGTTATTATATGTACTAGCAAGTAGTCTTGTTATTGCTTGACGAAGAACGGTTGAAAGCGCGCGGCTTCTTGGTGGCCTGTCGATACGCTAGCCTAGGCATCCATGACCCAGGGACCCTGTGGGTGACCCCCAGTTCTTGGGGATACCTTGCAGTCCGGGGCGAAATGTCGCCGATAGTGCGACGCTGCGACACTGGACGGGTGTTGCAGGCGTCCTTTGTTAATGTGTAGAGTCTGTAAGAGATGATTTTGTACCTGCAGGACCCTTCATAGCAATCCTTGCGACGTTGAGGCCAATGCTATGACTTTCTGGCATTCTGCCCTGCGCGTGTTTTAGCGGGTGTGTCCGTCTTAAGTATCGGCAGACCAGGATGTCGAAAACGCCGAGAGCAATAAGGTTGTATATAAGGTTGATAGATGGCGGTGATATCCTTGAATAGGTAGTTGCTGAAATCCCTTCGGACGAACGCAAGAATCAAGTGAATTCATATTGCACCCGACTGCAGAGTTTTCATAGTGCTTGACCACGCTGAAAACCGACAATGCATATCAAAGGCTGGATGACATGAGTGCACCTAGGGTACTCTGGAGGAACAGGAGCAAAAGAGATGCATCTATCATCACCACTACCACCACCATAATACGGCTCTTGCTTGCCCACCTGCGTGCTTGGCTGGCTGCTGCATTGCATCAAGCTAGACTACATATCAGCTGGCCTTCCCGTTAATCACATCCCACATCGCGGGCTGGTCGACGCATAGCATGGCCTACCGCATACATGTACGCACGCAGCATGGCATGGCATGGCATGGCATGGCACGCCATGCCATGGCCGTACCAGCTCGCTGGTATACATTTTTTTTTCGCAGCCCCTAACGACAGCAACCCTATGGCGCTACCTTGCTGGATCGATGGCGGTCGTGGGGCGCCGCCGCCCGGACGCCATCTGCCACACTCCTGGCTCGCGCTCCCGCAAGATCCCTTCAGGTCCAGGGTAGGGTATCAGGGGCCCATTCACAGCCTGGGGGCAACAGCGAATTATCGAAACTAGTCAGCGTGTATATGTATCTTGCGATCCAAAAAAAAAGTTTCCGTCCTGTTCGGGAAGAATGATATTTTCCGAGTTTGGCTTCCATCTTGCGACGTTTGTCGCAGACGACTCTCCCCCGAGCAAGTGACGAACCTCACCCGAGCGAGGAAGCAGGCAGAAGCAGTCCTTCGGCAACCAAAGGGTTGCCCCTTTCAAACCTTGTCCCTTTCAAACCTTGCCCAATTGAATGATTGCTGGGCCACATTATCAATCAACTGGGTAGAGGGCGGCAACCATCAAACACTTGTTGAGATTCATGAACAACCCTTCCTTTGGGACTGCACCGGCATCCTTCGCCAGAGGCTCTTCGAGAAAGTCGGTCAGGGATGTGCTCCATTGACAAATGCGGCGGCTGCTGCTCTTGGTGCAGCCTGCCCGCCAGCAAACAGACACATCCATCCCACCAGCCCGCAGTCTTCCGCCCACGCTATCGACCAACAGGGGAGGCAGCCAGGGGGGAGGGAGGGGGCGTGTGTCGGGAGGTGGATCCTACAAGGTGTCAAGGCCCCTGCTGCCACACGGCTGCGCAAGGATCCTTCGTCAGGGCTAATTTGTCTGAGACCAAGGATCTTTTCGCGCGCCCGGTCGCCAAGCCACTCGCACTGGGCGTGTCGAGACGCGTGAGGTCACCTCTGAGGGCAACTCTGGCAAAGAAGGAGCGAATATTTGGGTCAGTTTTGGGGTATTTTGTCTGGGAATAAGCCTCGCTGATCGACTACAAACGTACCAGGCTTCACGGCTGTCAGCACTATGTGCGTACGCACGTGCGAATCGGACTCGAATCATGTCTTGACGGACAGTGACAGGAGTGTGTGTGCTTGGCCCAAAATAGTCCGCACACCGGCTGGCAGCAGCAGCATTTACCGTGCACAGACAGCATCAGCACAGTGACCGCGGCATTGGACGCACTTACCCGAGCCAACGAAGAGTCAAGACGGCAATTACGCTAAGTTCTAACTATTCTGCAATTCACTATGCTTGCGAGAAAACTGTACGGCGGCTTGATTGCGTTATCCGTTCGTGCGATGGGGGCTCATCTTGGCAGTCTTATGAGTGTGCAGAGGCAGAGGATGGTCTCGTCCTGGACGTGGAGGCTCCTTACGACAATGTCGTCTGTCGGCAGTGAGAGGCGAGACTGGGCCATGCTGCCCCTGCTGAGTATTGCGGCTATTGGAGCTACCCTGGTTACTTCGAGCTGTAGGTTCTGACAGGTGTACATGCTATGTCACGTCTAAGTTGGTACCTACGTAAGTAGTCAATCCCGTCAGAGCGCACTAGGAGGAACGTAGGAAGTCTAAAATAGACGCAACTCCAATCTCAAGTGGCTCGACAAGTATCCGTATTGCGGACACTACTCTGTAGAGGAGACTCGGTCACAAGAACAGCCAGCACCGGCAGTCGGGCTTTGCCGCTCTATTCGCACTTGAAGCCAAGCTCTTCGTTGTGCGATGACATACAGCTCGTGCGATGGCACGCATCCTGTCCTTATCCAGTGATTCCAGAGGTTCGTCTACAGCCACGAGTTGAGCTCCGAACCATCCCCCCAACAGTTCGGTGCTACTGCGTTGTCATAGATGATAGGACGTTCCGAGCACGTTGCCACAAGTTACAACGGTCTACGGGCGGAGGAGACTGTCAGTGTGTCACCCATTGCCACGGAGCAACCCCAGCCATCGACCGCACACCCTCACTGTCCCAACCTTTCCACCCTTTGCCCATAAAAGTCTTTGAAGAGTCCCTCTTCCTCGCAAAGGGCTTCGACTAATGACAGGGGTTGCTTAAAAGAAAGCAAGCGATGCATCCGCGAAACGCTGTCACCAGCAAATCACTTACGCATGCTTTGGACAGCATTCTCATACGTTGATAGTCAGTGAACAACGTATTGTTGGGGGGCGCAAGCAAAGGACCAACAAGTGTCGGTGAAGATGCAGGGGCCCTTATTATAAGATAATAAGAGCACCTGTCGGTAATTGCATACTCTCTCGCGTGTGATTATACGTGCAGCATGAGGTCTCGGTGAACGGTCCGACGAACTCGGGAAACTGGGACAAGTGCCCTCCGTTTGTCTTCCGCTTGCAAGTTGCTGGTGGGCCCCCCGCCCTCCCTTTGGGCACACTTTTGCCACGCATCGCAACTCGGATGTTGTCGACGGCGTACCCCATCTTATCAACGTGGGCGGCTTGGGCATCCATCTGCGCACCCTTTCGCCATCTTCAACGTCGATCTCGTGGAGGGCAAGACCGAGCTCGACCGAAACGGATCAAAGTGGTGTCTGTCTCCTACAGATGCCCGTTCGCCGGTACGGTGACCCCATCGGTAGGTAGGCAACAAGAGATGGATGTTTGTCTTATCAACTCATTTGCCTTGCCAACATACTTGCAGGTTGATGACTTCTTCACTGTCGGGCGTGTGTTAGGCGATAGCCAACTTCTTGATGTCCACTGTCGACGCCGGCTGTTCAGCCCTTGCATACATACGGATAGTCATGGCGCAAACAAGGTTTTTGTCTTTCTCTTTCAAGATCAATTGCGTCAGACAGGCAACGAACGTCTCGGCATGTAGTGACTGGCGCCAATTGTCTATTATTTTTGACACTGCTGTCTCAGCCAGCGACGATGGCCACAAATCGAGCTGCCGGCCACTATAGCACACCTTACTATTCTATTTACCATGATCAGGTCTTGACTGTCTCACTAATGAACTTGTAAGTAGTTAGACTGGAAGAAGACACGCACAAGTCACGCATTGCCTGCCACACGTCTGCCAACGCAGATGTCTCACGCGGCGGACGCAAGTCTGTACATGTATGCATGAAGATTGTCGGTGTACGACAAGGTGTCAGTCTAGCCGCCGGCCGTTTGCAAGAGCATTCACAAGGCAGCTGGCAGGATGACAGCTTACATGGATGTGAGTATCACAGCCTTACATCGATCATCGTCATCGTAGGACCGACGGCAACATGATAAATGTATTGGTCACTCGGGCGACTTCACAAGAAGCCGTACGATATAATGAAGTAGCTGGTTGGAAACAAACATACATCTACTGCATCCTATACAAGAAGGAAGTCCGTTTCATATCCATGTCATTCAAGTCCGCTCAAAAGAATATGCTTTGTTTCCCAATGTCGAGGAAATGTACAATTGATCGCCATGAAAAGAAAATCAAATATGCAAAAATAGGAAGGCTTGTCGCTCCGCACAATTCTCTCGCTATGCTTCCACCGATCCCTTTCTCTCGCTCACGGTGCGATGATCACCCGTAGCGGTGGTCCGCGGGCCGACGACTGTACTCGTCCTCGTCCTCGTCCCGATGGCGCCTGCGCCGGTCGGAGTCACGGTCTCGGTTGCGATCCCGGTCCTCTGGCTCATACTTGTCCTCGTCCACGTGGCGACGGCGACGACGGCGTCGGTCATCGTCCTCGCGGTCCGGGTCTTCGCTCCGCTCCGCATCTTCATCATTGGTCTCACGACCACGACGGCGCTCTGAGGGGATTATATCAGTATGTGTGTCTTATCTGCTCGAGCACGGCTCGCACAATTGGGGATACATACCTCTGAGCACTTGAGTCGCCGCAGCGTACGCCTGGATCTCCTCCTTGTCGAGGACACGAAGCACAATGACAAAATCGTCGCGGACCTCGAATCTCTCCTTGCCGACGGTCAATGCCTCGGGGTTGACTACCTTTCTGCTGATCTTTGTCCACTTCGCACCCGGCGGCACGTCCTTCGCCTTCTTGTCGTCCTTGTGAGGGGCCGCGCCCTCGCGGACAAAGTTCTGCTCCTCGGGAAATTTGGGCCTGGGTTGCTTGAGGATACCCTTCAGAGGCTTGCCCTCGCCCTTCTCACGAGGCGGGGAAACGACACGGACGGCCTTCTCCTCGCTGTTCACGAGAGCAACTTCACGGCCTCGAGATTCGTCAGTTGACTCTGAGTGACGTGGAGCGGGTGACGTGGGGCGGGATGGTCGGGATGTGCGACTCGTCTCGGCGGTGGCGGGTCGCGGCTCTGTCTCCTTGGGTTTCTCGTTTGCTGAAGTGTCGCCTCGGGGCCTGTCGGACGTATCCATGGTGGCGAGCTGCTCGCGAAGCTTGCTAATATCGCCCGCATCGTTGGGGTTGAAGGACTGAGACGCCCGATTGCGACGGGCCGAACGCTTGACGGCATCCGAATCCGAGCCAGAGGCAGCAGCCTCGCCTGCCAACTTGCCTTCAGCGTCTCGGCGATGCTGGTCTTTGAGCTCCTCCTCGCGATGGCCGCCCTGGCGCTCGCGGTCACGGGTACGATCCCGGTCGCGCTCGCGATCGCGTTCACGCTCACGCTCACGTTCGTACTCACGTTCGTGCTCAGGCTCAGGCTCTTGAACACGATCTCGGGGCCTGTCGGCAAACCGCTCATGGTCTTCAACACGAGGCGAGCGATCGTATTCCTCATGCCTTTCGCGCTCGATGGTCGGGCTACGCCGGCGCCGCGGCTCTTTCTCTGGCACGTCCTTCCCCTTCTCTTTCTCATCGCCCTTGAGCAAAGGACCTAGGCCAACAGCCGCTGCCGCCACACCAACGCCAGATGTGATCTTGTCGCGAATGCGCGAGCGCTCATCATCACTGCCACGACGCTCACGTGGTTCAGGCTTCTCTTCGACCCTATTACGACGACGGCGATCCGCATCAGAGTCTCGATGAAGACTCTCATCCGACCTTCTGCGAGGTTCTTCCCTCTCGTCCATGCGGTTGCGTCGTCGACGGTCGACGTCCGAATCACGCTGCAGTGACTCGTCCGACCTCTTGCGGGGTTCTTCCCTCTCTTCGAGACGACTGCGCCGCCGAGGATCAATCTCAGCTCCGATTTCTTCGTCTGAGCGCTTCCGCGGCTCTTCGCGCCAAGGCTCTCGCCTTCGTCGATCGTCGAGACCGTCTACCGGCCCAGTGCGGATGCCAAAGCCACGGGTAGTGATGCTGTCATCCTGAAACTTGGGAGATTGGTGCACGCGTTCCGACTCTCGGTCACGATCACGCAGTTCTCTCATGTTGCGCTCATCCTCCCGACTTCGATAGTAATCATCGTGGTGAGATGATCGGGGTGGCTCCCGGTCCTGGTACAGCGATACTGGCCGGCCCCGTTTGCTATCACCGCCGCCTTCCGTCTGCCTGATGATTGGAGAGGGTGGCACCGGTGCCACGGGAGGCGCGGACTCGAAGCCGCTGTTGATCTTATCAAAGCCGCGAGTTGAGGGTGGGGGTCCGCCCCGTGTGCTGGAAGAGCTTTCGTAGGGTCGGCTCGTATTCATGGAGTAGTTCCGGCTCAGATCGGCGCTGGTGTTGACATTGAAGCTGCGACTGTCCGAGTTGTAGTTGACGTTGGGTCGGTAATAGCCACGATCCACACTCTCCCTGCGCCGGTGGCGCGAAGCAGGCCTGCTGTGATCCAAGTCGTACCGGGCGAGCTCGCCTGCGTTGGTGTACTGGTAGCCATCGTCGCCATAGTCTACCGGTGTCGCACTGCTGCCCTGGCGAGCCTCGCTGGGATACAGAACGGTAGGGCGAGAGCTTCGATAGGCGTCGGCGTTTGGCGCCTCGAGACGCTCACGATCTCGGCTGCTGGTGAAATCTTCGCTCTCATGATGACGGTGGTATGGCGCCGTGCTTCGGGAGCGAGTGGCCGAGGAAGCTGGAAGGGCGGAGAGATGTCCCTCGGAGACTCGAGAGCTGTGCCCACTGTGCCCGCCGTGGCCAGTGTGACCGCTATGACGTACAGGGCTGTGGCTCGAGTAGTGTGCGGTATGTGTGCTAGCTTGTGGTACTTCTGACTGTTTGGTCGTAATGATCACTGGCGGTCTCGAGTTCGAATCGAGAGTAGAGCGTCGGGCGCGGCCGGTGTCGCGTGAAGTTGGTACCCCGGATCGACTGACGGCATATGTTCGAGTGGTAGTAGGGACGCCGCCGGTCGAAGTGGTTGTGACGTAGCCTCTCGGTGTGGTGACGGGCTGCCTGTTAGTGGACGAAGGCAGGACGTGCATGTCGCCCGCGTAGTGTGAGCTATAACCAACGCTGGATGGCATAGATGATCGAGCTGGGTTGAAGGTCTGCGACCGGCTGTTGGGAGCGTAGCCTCCATGATACCGGTCCGCCATTGTGGGCAATCGGTCGTTCGGTCGGTCTGTCGGTTGGTCGAGTAAAGTTGTTGATATAAGCTTCGTTAAAAAATCGGGGGATAGTATGAGTTCGATAATTTGAGAGACGCCAAGGCTGGCTGGTGTAAAGTCAGAGAGGGGGAGGGGCGGAGGTTCGTTGGTCATCCGCGGGGATGGGCGAATTCAAATTGGTCAGGCAAGTTGATTACGGTGCAGAGGTCGACCAGTCTTCAGATGTGAGGAGATGGCCTTCTCGGTGGACGAGTATAGTACTTGATGAATCCCTTGGAGTTTTGTACCAGCCGCCACGCGTATGTTGTCTCGACAGGTGCCCAGAGCGCTTGGCAGCACACAAGCTGTGGGTTTTCTCAATGGACGTCTCGGATGGCGAATACTACTTTTGCTGGTCTGCTGCTCATGCGATGGCGCTGCAGCAGTGCGTATGCACGATGGGGACACACAAGTCGGATGGAGCCAATCCAACGGTGGGGTTGTGCTTGTGTACGTAGCTCGCTGAACACGAGCACTGCTAAGAAGGCGTCAGGAATAATGGTCTATAATTGTATCTGCCCACAATATCACCGAGACTTACCTTTGCGAGGGGAGTGGTGTCGACTGAAGACCGCCGTAGGGTAGGGAGAGACTGAAGTAGTGGAGGTGATGATGATATCGATGATTAGAGCGACGGGCAATGACTTCAGAGGCGCTGCTGGTCCAGCATGGTTCACGAATGACTCGACTGGCGGAGGTGAGAATGTAAGTAGGTAAGAAGAAACACGAGGGACCTCGCAAACAATTTGAAAGGGAAGACGAAATACCAGCCCAAGGGGAGACGGAGTCGAGAAGTTGGGTCCTCGCCCAGCTCCAGTCGAGGACTTGGATGGATGGCGCCGTCTCAGTCTGATGCCAGATCCCTGGCAGATTGCAGCTTTTCTTTCTCCGTGTCGTCCATTCCATCTCAGCCTAAGCGGAGGGTAAGGAAGGTAAGGAACCCCCTGGCGACGTCTGGACCTGAAGCCCACGCTAAGACGGGCAGCGACAGGCAGACGGCCTGCCCTGCCTGGTTGCCTGACTCCCCAGTCCTCCATATCGCTAGCGCCAGCCATTGGAGCCCGACGTCACTGACTCTGACACCCAGCGCCAATTGCTCGCCTTGCCCCTGTCGCCTGAGACTGGATGCACAAAGAGGGCTGCAGACTTGCAGTTGGAATGGTTGGTCTTTGGTGGTGCCGCTGATCTTCGGAAAGGGGACTGTACGTATCCAAGTTTAATCAATTCGCAGCAGTTGACGCAAGTCCTTCCACATTCCGCCGTCACCTTCACGGGTTCATCAGTTAGGTACGTAGGTACGCGCAGACGAACGTCATCTCCCGTGGCCCGATCCGAGCTCATCCTGGCAACCCTGAACCTGGACCATGATTGGGAAGCCTTGCCCGGTCTGGCTTGGTTGGGCCGACAGGCAAGGCTACGCCTGCTTCAATCTTCACTAGCCTCTGGCCTGCTTTTCGAGAACATCGTCAAACACGCAACACGAATCCTTGGCGGCAGTCTCTGTACAGTAGTCTCGGGCACGACAGTTCGCCACCCGCAGCGCCCAGCAACGTAATGCTTTGTCACGAGGAACCTCTTGTTGGCTTGCAGACTACAGATGTCTGTTCATCTGCTAGCTGCAGCGTAGCTCACTGATTCATCTATTGTAGCAGAGCCGTGGAAGCGACACCCCTGCGGACTTGGATCACCCTAGTTAGTATCTGCTCTACAGAGTCGCGATTGGCAGACTTTTCTCGCTATCCCAACATCGATGGCGTCCAAGTCGGAAAATGTGGTAATTGTATCCGTAGTGGAGTCTCGAATTCGGAGAGAAAGTATATCACCGGCACCAACAATAAAAGTCTCACTCACCGGCCGGGGCATCCCTAATTGTCAGATGCCCAAATGCCTCTTGTGGTTCATTGGAGCCCAACCAATTGCCAACCACATTCACTGAGCGTTACACACTGACACACTAGATTAGGATCCCGAGGCCAGGGGAGACCACATCGTCCGGGTCATGCCGACCGAAACGCGGCAAGTTGGCGCCTCGTCCTTCGCGAAGAGCCCGTTGACCATTGCTAGAATGCCTGGCAACTAGCCGCTGGTATTGTTTGTACTCCCATGACGCCAGCGCGAGTGAACGGTTGACATCAACGTGGCTTTCTTTTCGAGGCGCTCGGGTCGTTTGGCCCTCGTCCGGAGCGTGTACGTAGATGCCCAATGGCTTTCGTTCGGGGAAACCAACGAATGCATTATCGGTTTTCACATCCGTCCAGGAGCTCTGTCGGCTATGTTGGCGATCTCCGCGCGGGGCTGTCGTTGGAGACTGACTGAGGCCATGTGTAGGTGCCCAAGGGGCAAGATTAACTGCTACATGTGCGTGCTCTGGTGGGGTCATGGCCGTTGAAATCACAACTATCGCCGGTGTAGAAAGGGTCCGTAGCTTCATTTAGTGTCTTTGACCCAACTTGAACGATTTTGAAGGGAGCTGTGCCCGCAAGTCACTCAGTCACCCGCTGCCTTGAACCCCTGAACCATGTCACCGTGGCTGTTTACCGTACCGTTCACTAACGAAAGGGTTTAATCGTCCTGTGCTCTACCAAGGACACACAAAGAGGGGCAATACAGAAAACTGTTGGACAGGGGACGACTAATAGACCGAGTGAGCACAAGGGCTTGCTGTCCGAGGGGCAAAGTTTCTCGCACGGAAGGATAAAGTGGTGTTCCTTGACAACGCACGGATACATGAAGGAAGTGACTGTACATACACCCAATTTTGAGCCTACTGGATGTAAGTTGGGCGTACCAACTTGTGTGCTTGGGTCGGTCACACGACGGACGTGCCATTGCAAGGCCTCATGTGACAGTCTGCCGATGTATCTCGTCAGACAGTCTACATACATGCCCATGTACACGGAACCAATGTTCGAGATCAGAAGTACTTGACAAGATAGAAGCGGGGCGGCGGGAAATTGAATCCATGTAGTCTCTCTCTGTGTAGGACGGATGTAGACGTGGCCGCAGGAAGACCTATCAATCACCGGGCCCTCAACCACCTCCTGACCGATGCCAGCCGCAAACATGCTACGAACGGAAATGGGATCATAGCTACCGCGTACGAGGATTGCGTTCATGTTGGCAGCCCCGGCATGGCAAGGAAGATTGTCCATACATGGATGATGATAATGGCAATCACGTGGCTCAATGCTAGTCAACATTAGCTTCGTAATCACGAGAAAGGTGGCCTCAATTGCATGATTGTTCTCAAGATTGATCGTGACCCTATGTATGCGGTATTCAGACCCCTCAAGCCAGCGCACCCATCGGGTCCCAGATGGGCAGGACCGTCGGCTCCTGTCGCAGCACATCCCTGACCTCCTTGCCGACAAACTTGGGATCAATCACAGCCTGGTACACAAACTCGTCCATCCACGCGTCGCTCATGACGAACCAGCCCTTGTCGCCAGCCGCCTCGCCCCACGAGTTCTGCACGCGCCAGCGCACCGGCTGGCCCGTCGTCTCGTCCACGTGCACGGCTGTGAGGACCATGGCGTGCGTCATCTGGGACTCGCGCGCGTGTAGGCGCTGGGCCTTGAACATCCCGCGGACCAGGGACGTGTTGAGGCCCAGGTCATAGTTGAAGAGGTCGAGGTCCATGACGCCCGAGGCCGTGTCGCTGAACTTGCCCACGTCGCTGCCAAAGAAGATGGGCAGGCCGGCCTTGAGGGTGCGCACGCACGCCTGCTTGAGCGTCGCCATGTCGACGTTGACGTACGTTACGCCCCGGCCGCCGACAATATTGCCGAGGCGGGACACGCTGAGCAGCGTCAGGGGCTCGTGGCGCGGGTCGTGGACCAGGGAGACCATGCGCGCAATGGTGCTGGACGTGACGCGGAACTCTGGGCTGGCAATGTCCTTGGCAAAAGCGGTCGGCATGGTGCGCAGCTCGTGCGTCTTGCCGTCCTTGTCGGCGTACTGCCACGTAAACGTCTCCTCCGGGCTGGGAGGGGGTCCGAGCAGGAGCGTCATGATGAGAGAGATCTCCTTCATCATCTTGGCCTTGACGTCGGACAGGTACTCGGCCGAGATGCCCTGCTCGCGACGGCAGAGGGCGCGCAGCTTGAGGGCGAACTCGCGGAGCTTCGTCTTGACGATGCTGTTGAGGACGCCCGAGTTCATGGCGCTCCAGTTGTCCGGGTACAGCGCCTGCGGGACGAGGCCGTACTTGTCGACGAGGTTGTACACCATGTCCCACTGGCCGCCGTCGCTGACAATGTCGCCGAGGAGGTGCTGCACCAGCCGGCCGTCGAGGTCCTCGGCGGCCGTGTCGATGATCTGCTCGAGGAACCAGTTGCTCTTCTCCAGCTTGTCCCAGAAGAAGAGGTACGCCTGCGACAGCTCAAACGACTCGAGGTTGTACTTCTTCATGAGCGCCACGCGGAACACATTGGTCGAGGCAAAGAGCCAGCAGCGGCCGCTGGAGCGCTGGTTGGTGATGGGGCTGCCCTCGAACGGGATCTTGATGTTGAAAACATGCTGGTCGGCGACCTTTGTGGGGAGCGAGATGAGAACCTTACGGGGGTTCTCGGTGCCCAAGGCTGTGAGGGCGAGTCTGCACGTCGTGGGTTGGTTAGACGATGGACGGGAGCAAGGGCAGAGAGGCCTGTCAGCAGGATGGCGCACTACTCACCTGTTTTTGGGATCTTCCAGGATGGCGCTCTGCCACGACTCGAGCGTCTGCAGCTCCAGACCTTGTGGTTTCCATTCGCGAAGAATGTTGCCGTTTTTCTCGTCGGTAATCTCAACATATCCATCATCCTCAACACGCATGTTCTGAAGACGGTCCACGACGGTCTTCTCGTGGGCGGTGGGTCCGTTGGATGTGCTCTGTGCGCCGCCCATGGTGATGGTGGAGTGAGTTGTGACTTTACGATGAGCGATGAATGGTAAGTGCAAAGCAGAGCAAAGACAGCAACACAGAGAAACGGATAGTATTTGTAGTGTAGATGCAAGCTTTCCGTCAAATGCGCTTGCGAATCTTTACGAGGCGGAATGTAGGAGCTTATCTAGGACCTTGTAGGCATCGCGGCAGCTGGTCTGGTCACACGCCATCGGAATGCACGCGTCCCCTCACTGTCCATTCCCCCCAGGATAGTAGATCAAGGGTCGGCGGGTAGACCCGCGCCATCTTCTTCCATGTCTTACTCTTCAATGTGCTGGAATGTGTAGCCCGATGATACTCGGTACCTTTGTTTCATTTCGTTCAGCTATAGCTCCTCGTGTTGCGACAAGCGGCAGAGGAACTAATGATAGAGACGGTGCACCTTGATGGTCAAGGCTATCTACCTACCCTACTGCCAGGTACTGATCGTAACCGTCAGCTTGAGCGCGATCACCGCCACCACTAAAATCTGGAACATTAGAAGCGACATTAAGCGAGGCTAGCTCCGTCCATCACCACAAGAGAAAGAAAGCACATATCAAAAAAACCATTACATCTTGTCATGTACACTGCACCTATCTACTGGTAGTCCACACAATTTTCCAAGATATCTTTCCAAGATGTATACACCATTCTCATGCCCAGTTAACCCACATGCTGCGCCCCCGGCAGCGCTGCAAATGCACCACTGCCAGGGGCGACAGGTCAAGCTAACCAATGATAAACAGCAAAGGACAAAGGAAAGGATGTCATTGCAACATTGGGTTAGATTAATCTAGAGGCGGGAGCCGTGCATGACCTTCATGTCGACGGCGAGCTCCTGACCGTTGTCGTTGAGGACCATGACGCGGACGGAGCCACGGCCAGACTCAAAGGCGTTCGCAAGGCGGCCAGAGAGGTTGGACTGGTCAATGACGGGCAGGCCGTGCTTGACGTCGCCAGTCTCGGTCATGGCGACGACCAGACCGTCCTGGAGATCGAGGACACGGTACTGCTTGAAGACAGGGCCGAGCATGGTCTGGACAACAACGCTGGGGGCCGGGTTGCTGACAAAGGAGGACTCCTCGTGCAGCTGCTTGGTGAACAGGTCAACACCAAGGTAGCGGTACTGGCCGGTGGCGGACGAGGTCGAGATGCGGATGACCTGGCAGGGGCGGCCCTGCAGCATCAGGAAGTCGCCGAGGCGGATGTGGTGGCAGGGGATGGTGACGGTGTTGGGCAGGTAAGACTCGGCGCTGTCACCGGGGCGGGGACGACCAGCCGACTGGTGAACGTCGACATCCACGTGATGGTGGTGCTCATGGCCACGGGGGTGGACAATGCGGTCCGCGAGCTTGTGGACGCCCTGGCGGAAGGAGTGGTAGTGACCTGCACGGGGCGACTTGTCAGTACGTGTCTCAGATAGAGGCCAGTGAATGATTGCTTACCGTCCTCGTCGTAGTAACCCATCTTGGATTTCTGGTGGGCGGTGGAGTAGCGGGCGGGCTCAACTGTCTCGTCAGAGACAAACTTGGAGTCGACCTTGGGGGCGGAGCCGGGAACACGGGCGTCAACGGTAAAGTTGTTGACGTTGGTGGTGGTGCCGGATTGGTAGGTGGCGCGACCTGGACCGTCGACAGTTACGTTGAACTGGGGACGGGTGTAGCGTTCGCGGTATTGACGTTCAGCAACGTCAATAGGGCTGGTGAAGGCTTGGGCGGCAGCGGGGGCAGCGGCGTCAACCTCGATGTGAGTGTTGGTGTAGTTGGTGCGAGGGGCGGCAGGACTGGAGGAGGATGTTGTCAGTCGTTGTCGATACGATGATGGATGATGAAGATGAAGACGGAGAAGGAAAAGGAAGAGAAGATGGAGAGAGAACAGGTTGATGAGACGCGGTTTGGAGGTGTTTCTCCGTCAACGACGGACCGCAGCTAAAGCTAGTCAGACCCCTGGACCATTGGCCGGGTTGGGGTCCGGCCAGCCAGGGGGTGCAACAAGCGGTGACTGCGGCGGACCCGTAGAAAAAGCAATGCATGCGCTGTCCTTTGTTGTTGTTGCTGCTGCTGCTTATGCTGCCGATGCACAAACGGGTGTGATTTGGGCCGTGTTTGGGCTGTCCATTGCCTTCCCCCGCCTGGCGCGCAGCCCAATGGCAATTGGGCGCTTTGCTCGTCGGCGCCGAGAAAATAAAGTGAAAGAACATGAACTTGACTTACCGGCGCTCTTCGTAGGCAAAGTGCTCGTGCTGGGTACCGGGACGGTGGTATTGCTCCTCTTGACGATAGTGGACCTCTTCGTTGCCGAAACGGTGCTCCTGTTCAGGTTGCTGCGGGAGGTCGACGTTGGCAGTGAACGACGAAGAGTGCTGACCTTCCCGTCCGGCTTTGGGTTCGGGAAGCTTGACTTCGACCTCTTGGTGAGTCTCGTGGGTAGCGGTCTGGGCCTCGGAGTCCTTGTAGGTCGAGGGGAAGATGCTGAAGGGGACGGGGACGCGGGCTTCAAAGTCCAGATTGACGGCGGGGGGCGGCGCGAGAGAATCGGCTTCTCATTCAACCTCTCGTAACGACACGAAAGGAAGATAAGAAGATGATCCTCAAGCTTTCGTTTCTAAGGAAACAAAAGAAGGAAGAAGCGAAGAAGAATGGGAGGCACGAGGTCCTTATTCTTCTAGCTGATTCCGGCAAGAGGGCAACGAGGTTATTCCAAGCTGTGTGGTGATGTGGTTCGAGGTAATTGGAGGAGGAGAAAAGAGGCTGGGAGGCAGAAGTCGACGCAAGAAGGGGGTTTTGAGGACCAGGCAGCGTGTCGAGGCCGTCGTCGGTCTCTGGCGGGGGGCGTGGCTACAGCAGAGGTGTGTTTACCACGGGGACTGGAGACTCCACTGGGGTGCCCGGTTGTTTACTTCTGAGACTGTTTCGGCTTAGCTTGTAAGACCCGTCGGCTGAGCAGATCCACTGGAGCTCCCAGACAAGCGCCACGCGTGTGTCTCGTCGCCCTCTGGATCAGCCCTTCATTACCGATGGCGCAGATGCACCAATGTTTACACAAATTGACTGATCATCTTGCACAACGGCTCATTGATGATGAGCGGTCAGTCTCCTGTTGCAACAGCAGACACAGGCTGGTGGTCTCTGCAACGATGAGCCAGGCTTCGATCAAGCTAACCCAACCACTCGAATTATCCTCCACTCCGCGTAGGCGGGAGTCGAGCGCAGCTGCGCAGGACAGACCCTCTGGTCGATCCATGGGCTTTCGTGGACCATGTCCATTGGCTGCCGCCGCTGCAATCCTCGATTACCGCCTCGCCTCGCTTTCCGCCAGGCGTCCTGCGCCGAGCGCGGTGGATATTGTTGATCGCCTGCAGGTCCGCTCCAGCCTCCTCCAGGCATTGATGCCGGACGTAAAGCCCAATTGCTGTCGCTTCTCGACCCAATTCCTCCTGTGCTTCTGCGGTTGAGCTCTCCTTGGCTAGATCGAGCTCGTGATCCTACATCATCCACCTTTGGTCGCAAACAATGTCAGAACTTGCACAATATTATGCTACGCAATCTTGTCTTAGCGCCGTTGCTATGCACCAATTTTGTGCTGGCTGCAGCTGCACAGCTGAACAAATCTAACCCTAGGCCGCAGGTGCGTCGTTAGCGGCCCCTTTGGCGGTTGCCACAACGACAGCCAATCGCAGTCGATCCAGGTCCTCCTTGACGCGTCCCCGACACGAGGGCGTGTCCTAATTGTCTCCAAGTCCTCTCTTCATCACCGCGCGTTCGTTCGTCCGTCTCCTTATTTTAGCCTGGCTTTCATCTCCCCCAGGTTGCCGAGCTCGATCGACATCTGATTTACCTCGGATGTTGCAATCGGATGCCGCTCACAGCGGGGCCTCTGATTCACTTGTGGTGAACTGAGCACGCCCCTGGTCTGCGAAGCTTCACCAGGCCGCAGACGACTGCATCGTGCGCATACGAAGCAGTGCTGAACACGAGCCATATTCTTGCTTTACCACCCATGAAACAACGTGATGCTCGTCTTCAATAGCCAGGAAGACGGCTAGTAATATGCTCAACCATGGGCGTTGACAAATTAATCCCCGCGAGCTGACGCCCAAGCCCCCGAAAGGCGATCAATGGTCAACAGTCATTACTACCAAACTTCCGGTCCCCAGGCACCTGCAACTTCAACTCCGTGGATTGCTTGATCAACTTCCAAAGGCACGATTTACATCGTCAAGACGTCCTACTCTGTCTTTCCAATATGAACGTGCACGCGCGGACGTACAAGTTGTGGTCCATGTAAGCGGCCCCCAAAAGGGGAATTTCTATTCCTCCTCACCTACGGTATGGAACTCAGATGTAGTCTGGTGCTTACGTCCTCTACAAAGAAGGAAGAATCACCATGGCAGCTCCGACTGCGCAGACCAGATACCTTCTTGCTGATGGCACGTCAGGTCTCGGCTGTGCCCTTGCTGCTACCCTTATGTAGCGTTTTGTCCCTGTCGCCGTAGTACGAGCTCCATCCGTCAGAGCGGCTCAAAGCCTTCTCAAACTGCCGGCTGGTCATGACAGCAGAATCGTTTTCCTCCCCTTGGACACGAGAGATGAGCTGGGCCAAGCCATGCTTTGGCTGGTAGTCGCCGAGGAAGGGCATGGACGTCGTCCTTGCCAGTGCAGGGCTATACAAGAGCATCAAAGTTGTCACCGAGACAGACCCAGAAGGCTTCCGCGAAAACCAGATGTGAATACGATTAGTCCCGTGAGACGTTTCCAAGCCCACTGTCTGCCGTCGGCCAAGAGCTAGACAAAGGAGGCCGCTTTCATATCGGTCATACTGGGCAGCTTCAACTTTTTGGAGATGGCTGTGGGAAGGCCGGCTGTGTCATATTTCGCAGCAAAGTGGCAACCGACTGGCGGATGAAAAAGCAGCTGAGTGGCTATTTCGCAGCAGTTGGTTTGATATAGACATGGGATCTCGGCGAGCTGAAAGGATGGGCGTGGTCAGGACACCGCCGATAATCGAGGATACAATTTCCAGCACACTGAAGAATGGACGATTACGGCGCAGGGAGTAAAAGTACATGAGTTTGGCTGACGCTGATCATTCTTAGATTGATTAGGTCTCTAAGCCTCTGAGGCAACGTTGGGCACTTCCATCAACTTTGACTGCACAGCACTTGGTTGTAGAAAAAGATTGATCGTAGACTTGTCTACTGTCCACTTTATTGTACTACGTAGGGCTGATTTGCAACTCTGATGAAAGATTTGATTTTGACCGAGTCCACGTGATGTCATGAGTGTCGAGTTTGCCTGCCCCGCCATGGCACATGGGATGCCCCACGTCGACGTCGACGGTTGACGGCGTCAAAAGCGTCAGACGTGCCCTTGACAGTCGCACAAGCTACACCAAGTCTCCCACCCACAACATGAAGCAGAGATTCTCCTCGTTGGATGTCAAGGTGCGATTTCAGTTCCCTCCCTAGCCAATGCGCAGCTTCTAATCATCAACAGGTCATTGCGCACGAGCTCCAACAGTGCTTGGTCAGCTTGCGCCTGTCCAATATATACGACCTCTCCTCCAAAATCCTCCTTCTAAAATTTGCCAAGCCCGACAACAAGAAGCAGCTCGTGGTCGATACCGGTTTCCGCACCCATCTGACCGAGTTTGGACGTACAACTGCCGCGGCACCCTCGGCATTTGTCGCTCGGTTGCGAAAATGTCTAAAGACGAGGCGGTTGACGTCAGTGTCGCAAGTGGGCACTGACCGTATCTTGGAATTCACGTTCAGCGATGGGCAATATCGGTTGTTCCTGGAGTTCTTCGCGGTAAGTCCAATCGACGTCGCTGGGAGGAAAACATAGCCGCTGATGACTGTGGCAGAGTGGCAACATTATTCTCACCGACGCCGAACTCAACATCCTCGCTCTCTCGCGCAATGTTGCCGAGAATGAAGGCGGCCAAGAATCACAGCGTGTTGGTCTCAAGTACTCGCTCGAGAACCGGCAAAACTATGAGGGCATCCCGGACCTGACCAAAGAGCGCGTGCGTACCGGGCTCGAGAAAGCCGCCGAACGAACAAAGGCTGCCTCTGCGGTTGCCAAGAAGGGGAAACCCAAGACGGGTGCCGAATTAAGGAAGGGTCTGGCCTCCTTCATCTCCGAGACACCGCCAGTCCTCATCGAGTACACGCTGTTGGCCAATGGATTCGAGATGGCGACGCCTATTTCCGAGATCTTGGCAAATGAGTCCATATTTGACGAGTTGTTCAAGTCTCTGGAAGAGGCGCGCAAGACTGTCGAGAACATCACCTCGGGGGACAAGTGCAAGGGGTACATCTTTGCAAAGTACCGCGCGGCACCATCAGGGGACAGCGCCGAAGCGTCGGACAGGTCGAACCTCTTATACGAGGACTTTCATCCTTTCCTGCCCCAGAAGCTAGCCAGCGACCCTGAAATAAAGGTCCTGGAGTATCCCGATTACAACCAGACAGTTGATGAGTTCTTCTCCTCCCTGGAGGGACAGAAGCTCGAATCGCGCCTCAGCGACCGAGAAGCGACAGCAAAGCGGCGGATGGAAATGGCCAAGCAAGAACAGGCCAAACGCATCGAGGATCTGCAAGAAGCGCAAGCGTCAAACTTCCGAAAGGCAGAGGCCATCGAGACGAATGTGCAGAGGGTCCAGGAAGCGATGGATGCCGTGAATGGGCTCATCGCGCAAGGGATGGACTGGGTCGACATCAGCAAGTTGGTGGAACGCGAGAAGAAGAAGCAGAACCCTGTGGCTGCTATCATCAAGACACCCCTCAAGCTTGATGAGAATGTGATTACCCTTTCACTGGCTGAGGAAGATTTCGAAGAGGAAGAAGATGAGGATCCGTTTGAGACCGACGATGAGGACGATGAAGACGGCGCGCCGGAAAAGAACAAGCCTGCCGCATCTGTCAAAGCCATTGAAGTCGACATCAACTTATCACTGAGCCCTTGGAGCAATGCTCGCGAGTACTACGAAGAGAGGCGAACATATGCGGTGAAGGAAGAGAAGACACAGGCATCCTCTGGAAAGGCCCTGAAAAACACAGAGGCCAAGATTCAAGACGATCTGAGAAAAGGCTTGAAGCAGGAAAAGGCGCTATTGCAACCGATCCGTAAGATGATGTGGTTCGAAAAGTTTATTTGGTTCATATCCTCGGATGGATATCTCGTACTCGGCGGCAAAGATGCGACTCAGAACGACATGCTGTACAAGCGCTATCTCCGTAAGGGCGACATCTATTGTCACGCTGATCTGCACGGCGCGTCGAGCGTGATCGTCAAGAACAACCCAAAGACGCCTGATGCGCCAATACCGCCCCAGACCCTCTCGCAGGCCGGCTCCTTGTCTGTCTGCACGTCAAACGCATGGGATTCCAAGGCGGGAATGGGCGCTTGGTGGGTCAATGCGGATCAAGTGTCCAAATCCGCGCCTACGGGAGAGTTCCTACCACAAGGCAGCTTCATGATCCGCGGAACCAAGAACTTCCTCCCACCGACGCAGCTTCTGATGGGCTTGGGGTTCGTGTTCCGCATCAGCGAGGAGAGTAAGGCGAAGCATGTCAAGCACAGGCTCAATGGGGTTGATGATGGCGATGCCAGCGCGGGTGCTAGCCGTAAGAAAACTGATACCGAAGCTGCAGCTCTGGAGCATCCTGTCGTCGAGCCTCGGAGCGTAGAGGATGATGCCTCAGACATGGGCGATAAGACCGCCGACGAGTCCGACAACGGCGAAGAGGCGGACGAGAAACGCGATAACCCCTTGCAAGAGGCTGGCAGCAAGCGTGAGGAGGACAAGGAGGACGACGACGAGGACGTCGATGCAGCAGAAGAAGGGGTTCAAGATCTGCAGATTGGTGCAGACAAGCAGGAGGCAGAGGAATCCAAAGACGAAGGCAGGGATGACAAAGAGGTTAGCAGTCCTGAAGATGCCGCTACGCCTTCGGTCCCAGAGACGTCGGAAACACCCACGCAAGCATCAGGGCAACAGCAAGCCGGCAACAAGTCCAAGCAGCCACAGCAACCAGTCCGCAAACGTGGGCAAAAGGCGAAAGCCAAGAAGATCGCCGCCAAATACAAGTACCAAGACGAAGAGGACCGTCTGGCGGCCGAGGCCCTCATCGGTGCCAAAGCAGGGCAGGAGAAGGCGCAGGCCGAAGCCAAGGCGAAAGCCGAACGCGAGGCGGAAATCGCGTTCCAGAGGGAGAGGAGGAGAGCTCAGCACCGGAAGACGCAGAAGGAAACAGCCGAGCATGAGGAACTCCGAAAGGTCATGATGGAAGAGGGTGTCGAGCTCCTGGACGATGACGAGGCACAGAAGGCGACTTCTCTGGATGAGCTCGTCGGCACACCCTTGCCCGGGGACGAGATCTTGGAGGTGATTCCCGTGTGCGCGCCGTGGGGTGCCTTGGGCAGGTACAAGTACAAGGCTAAGCTGCAGCCGGGCTCGACGAAGAAGGGCAAGGCCGTCAAGGAGATCCTGGAGCGCATCAAATTCGAGAGCGGCAAGAAGGGCGCAGTCGACCCGCAGGGCAAGGACTCGGACAAGATGTGGCCCCGCGAGGTCGAGCTTCTCAAGGGTATCAAGGCCGAGGAAGTCGTCAACAGCATCCCGGTTGGCAAGGTCAGGGTGATGCTCCCTGGTGCCACGGGAGGAGGAAAAGGAGGCGGCAATGCCAAGGCGAAGAAAAGAGGCGGCAAGAAATAGAGCAAAAAGTGGACCACCGTCTCTCGGAAACTATGCAAGAATCACGCTCGGTTCGGGTCTACATATTTTCGACTGTCTCTATCGACGTGAGGAAACCCTTTCCACGCGCCTTACATCGTTTGGCACCCTCGCGATGCAGAGCTCCTCGCAGAAAGCACCCCATTGCCCGCTTGTGGACTCTGCGACGGCCTCCTGTAGCTCTCTCTCGTAGCGTGACCGGTAGGCCTTGCGGACCGCAGACATGTGGGCAGCGTCCCAGTGAATCCGCACAAGCCGCGAGGTCAGCAGCTCGTGGCGCAGCTCATCCTTGCGTGACGTGGAGATGGCGTGGTGGAGGAGTAAAGCGTCGCGGACGGGGCGGTTGATGACGCCGTTGAGGATGTGTGCCAGGAGTTCGCCCTGCAAAGGTCAGCCTCAATCGGAATACCCCAGGGTGATGGAATAGACTTACAACCAAGTTTGTGCTCTTCTTCAGTGAGTCCCGAGCGAAGTTGGCGCGGTACACATGATCGTACTCCTTCAGCACTTCACGTAGATGGTTGTCGCTGCGTTGCACAACAATGGAGATCATCAGACTCTCGCCTCCCTTTTCAGCCTTGATGGCTTGGCGCAGACTGTGAACGTCTTCGTCCACCAACTTGTAATCAAGAGGGATCTTGCGACCGTTGTGGTCGTAATCGTCCATCCTGCGCTCCTCCAGCACCATGAGGACGGCCTTTTTGAACTTGTCTTCCTTGAGTTCGGTTTTCATGCACTTTGTGAGACTGTTGTCGTATTTCTTGTCCGTAAAGGCGCTCTTGATCTGTCGAATCTCTTCGTTCGTGCGACCCATCAACGACTCAATAAGCAGCTCACGGCGGGTCTTGTCGCCTTGATACCAGAAATTGGCCCAGTAGCTCTCACTCTCCCACATACCGAGTGCTACAGAGTAGCATGCCTTCATAAGGTTGGGGTTCTCATCCTTGAGACGGGCCCGAATGTGTTTCGCGATGTTAACACCCTTGCGGTGAGATCCGGTCTTGACAAGGCTCTTGTAGTCTGCTCGCAAGTTCATGACCTGCTCGTGCGTCAGGCTTGGCAGGATCTCGGTGAGTACTCGCTTGTCAGGCGGGCCATCACCTTTCAGAGCATTGGCCAAGCGGGTTGTGATGTCTTCAGCGTCGTGGAATCGGGCCCGTCTGCTACGCTTTTTGTCATCGAGCTCGTTGTCAGATCCGATGGGGGAGATTGCTTCCAAAATCCTGGGGTCGTCGCTCGGGTGGCCAGAGGGGAGTAGCAGAGGCGAGGGCATGGGCGAGCAGTCCTGGTACGTGCCGCGGTAGGACTCCAGAAGCGGCGAGGGAGGAGCAGCAGCGAGTGACATGTTGGACGGTCGGCCCGTATCGACCGTCAGAGTGGACATGCGCCCCGTCGGCGGCTGAGGCGATCTGTCGCGTGTACTTCGCCGGTCCCTGGATCTTTCACGCTCATGATGGCCGGTGTCCACTGTCAAGCCGGCGGGGTTGGGGGACCTGTCTCGGCGACGGTCGCGAGATGACTCCCTATTCCTGTCGCTTGGGTCGACGGTAAGAACGTCAGGTCGTGATCGACGAGGGTCTTGATCGCGGTAGTCCTCAAAGCGAGCAGATCTCCTGGGGTCTTCAGCAGCAGGGCTTACTGGGCGTGAACTGATTGGGCGTGGACTCAGCGCCCGTCGCCGCGGGTCGTCCACAGGATACTTGGAAGAAGGTCGATCCTCCCACTGGGACCCTGTCAAGTAGCTCCCATAGGTTTGGGGCGAATTCGCCCTCTCCGATCGCGACGGGCCCGAAAGCTTACCGTAAGCCAGGTCGTCCTCATCGCGCTCCTTCTTGCGTCTCCGTCGCTCGAGTTTGTCTTCGCGACCAGATGAATGAGAATCATCATCGTCCTTTCTGCCCTTGTACTTGAAGGGGAGGAAACTGAACTTGTCATCGTCGAGATCTTGTCTGCCGGGTCTGTCCCTTGGTTTGTCGTTGGCGGGGCTCGATGGCACGCTGTACTTTGCGGGTAGAAACTTGAGTCTTTCGTCTTCGGAGACACGCTCATCCTTCGCCGCGGAGTACCGGCTTCGTCGTCCACTATCGCCTTCTTGCTCTCGTGCCTTCCGCTCTCGTCTCTCCAGCTTGGACTCCCGCGGCTCGGCTGTGACGACCTGGGGTGGTCCCTGGTCGTCGTCCGGGAACGCTCCTGGATATGATTTGCGTTCGTCTTTTTCGCGGGAGCTTCGGTACGGTGATGCAACACGTTTCGCGGGCTGGTAGTCTTCGTAATTGTACAGCCTGTCTTCCCCAGGTAACATTTGGTGAATGCCCCCCTCTACTGGGTAAGGCACGCCACCACCCTGGTTCGTTTCACGCGGCTGGTACCGGCTGTCGAGATCGTCTTCGGGGTAGACATATGAAGGCTCCCTCACATCGCCGTACGGAGGTCTCTCCGGGGGATCGTTGCGGGAACGACGGTCACGCGAGCGCGACCTGTCGCGTCGGCGGTCGTCATCGACGTAGAGAGACATGTCGATATCCTCAGCTTGCGGGGCGAGTCGAAACGAGCCGAATTGGCCCTCTTAGCAAGGAGGCGAAGGCGGGAGATGTCCCAGGCGCTTTCAATGAATTCCTTCTGGGCAAATTAAAGCTCCGGTCGTGACTCCCCTCGTAAACAATGATGTGGGGTAAGCTCAGCTTGAGGGAAGGTGCAGTCGAGTATCGGAGAGGGACGGCAATGCGTCGGTCAGACAAACAGGCAGATTGTCAGACTCTCAGACTATCAGACAGCAAGGTTCGCGGAACGAAAAAATTTCAATCAGAGAGCAACCTCGATCTCTGTACTTAACTCATCGAAGAACCTGCATCGAGCACGCCACAGTATTTGCCCATGATGCAAAGCATATGCAGCATTCTGCTCCGATCACCTCGCAATTGGTGCCTCGCTGCTGACGTCCTGCGACCTGCAGAGCGCTAAGGCGACAACAAGACCCATGACTCCAGTCGGACCAGTCCAGATGGCAACCCACTCGAGGTCAGCAGTCACAGGCGGTCAGCTTCCATCGTTGTAGCCCTACAGAACGCCTATAGAGAGAGGCCCAGTGGCCACCAGGTGTTCCTACGCCTACATTCTGCAAGCTGCGTGAGCCTTGCGAATCGCCTGCTCGGTGATGCGCAGGTCCGCCACTCGGCCATACCGGCCACGGCACCTGGAGTCGAGGTGCCGGAGGCGCAGCACATCATTGGGGGTCGCGCGACAGACGGGACCGACCGACTGTGTTGGTGCCGCGAGTGATCCTGACCGGAGACTCGGCATCGTGACTGCCAACGTCGTCGGCTCACATCGGCCGATATGTGCTGCTGTGTTGGTGCCGATCATTGGCCAGCGAGGCGAGGGCTTTCTTGTGCGTGGTGAGTGTTACACAAATATTATGACAGCCGAGGCAAAAGGTACGGCTTTGGGTGATTATGCTTGAGAGCCCTGAAGCTCTCGCTCTACAGACGGCAAGTTTTGTGCGATGATGGAAACGAAGTATATTCAACGAGATGCGCACGCCAGGAGTAACTGTGACGTTATGCCTACATACATTGTAACGGCCATTCACTTGACGACCATATACGTCCTTCTTTGCGCAAACGCAGCATTCGCGTGGCCATCGACAGTCCCAAGCGAACAGGTCCTTGAGTCAATAGAATCCTCTCTTGCTTGCACTGCCCATTCCGAACGGAATATTCATCGATTCCCCATGTTCTCGATCTGTTGAGCAACCATTCGTTCAACAAGGGATGCAAGGTCGTCCTCCGACACTTCAGCTGGAGCCGGTGGTTCCTGGTCACGCAGAGGCTTCATGCATGCGTAGAGTTTTCTGTTTGCTTTGATCGCCTTCTCTTCTCGTGCCAAAGCATCGTTAGCGATCTTAGCTAGGTTATCCGAGCGCCGACGGAGTGTGTTGTTCTCCATTTCAAGGTATTCAATGCGGGCACTAAGTTGAGATGTGCTTTCAGACTCCTTTGCTGGCTGAAATGCATCCTGATCAGCCGCGACTTGCGGTGAATCGATTCGTTCATCAGGTGGTACCAGTGTATCCTCTGTGCCGTTGGTCGTGAAAGTGACCTGATTCTTGGCCTGAGCAGTTGGTGGTGGTCTAAGAGACAGGAGAGTTGTAAGTTGGGAGCTCTTGGCTTCCAACTTTGGGGGACCTTCCGACTTGCTTGATTCCTTTTTCGCCTTCGTCGATGATGTGTCGCGATCGCCGCCCAAGTCTAGTCCGGCAAAATACTCCTTCGGATCGTAGCTCACCCGGCGGTTTCCCGACTTTCTCTTTGGCAGCAGTCGCGTTCTAGCCGGCACTTCTTCCTGGGACGGTATATCTGATTGTACGAGATATCCTGGATGACCGTAGTGCTCGTCGTCGCTCTCGGAGACCTCTTGGTGCTTGCGCTTCTGCGTTTTTTGCGACGACACTGCTACAGAGACCAGTCAGCTATGCGACATAGATGGGTGGTGTGCTTGGCTCGAGTTCTTACACTGGTGTTCAGAAATGACCCACGACTCTGGGCGTGGTGGTGCAGGTCCAGGCCAGATTGCCTTTCTCAGATTGACATTGGGATATCTCTGCTTGATCTTGCGGGCCAGTGGGCTCTGCATCAACCTGTTTTCAGCAATCCGACGATTGCCTTCCTCAAAGTTGTCTGAGCCGCGCAGCTCCGATCGATTGTCGACATAAAGGAGGCGTAGTGCATAAAACACACCCCAGACAACATCACCAAGTTTGTCAGTCATGTAGTGTTTCCAGATCGGGTGGAGGCCCAGGTTCGCCTTTGGGGGGTCGCTTGTAGTAGCCAGCTTTCTCAGTATGAACATGCATTCATTGATCTCAGGTTGGTTCATGTCTAGCGCGTACTTGTCGAGCCAGTGCTGGTATGCACGGGCCACTGGAGGTAGTGTGCCCTCCGCAGTATTGTTGTTCTGATCCATAACGTAGAGACACAGCCAGTCGAAGCAAACGCCGGAAGGCTGAATGCTTGAGTCCTCGATGGAAGACGAAATTGGTTCTGCCAGTGCTGTCAGTGAGCTAAGCGAAGCGAATTAGGTGGTGGTGTCGAGGACGGTGAAGCCCGACTCTTTCACGAAGGTGAAAAGCACATAACAAAAAAAGTGCAAACCAAGTTTGGTGGAACTCACTACCAACTCTCAAAACAATTGACTATTAGTGCGCCACGCGACCCTTCGTCCGATACAGAACGGTCCGATGCATGCCTACTACTCGCTGAATGGATGTTGATGCCCGAGTCACTCAGGACTGGCGAGTGCACAGTGCATTTCGTAAAGCCACCTGCATGAAATATCGCAAAGCTTCGGAGCCCTAATAATGGCACACTTGAGTTTCCAAGGTCAAGGAACTCATTGTGTTTGGGGTTGCGTCACATTTCAGGTCCCTGCTCGAAGCCCCTGATGTAGTAAACAAACCACTTACATACCTGTCCGGTTCCGCGACGCAGCCTCCATGTCAGGTATGTGAAGCGTTCAGCGAAGAGCAAATGCCAGGGCACACCGCTCAGTCACAGAGGTAATTTGAGCCTGTATGTCCAAGAATTGACGATGACACCAGTCGCTACACCATACACGCGATTCACCGACACAGGACAGCCTCAAGGAAATGCATCTGATACCGAACATATATGCATCATGGGTTTACAACTTAACTTGGCCGTATCAGAGAAAGTATTTGGCTATTCCAACACACACATCCTAATCATCTGGGCTGTTCCAACTTCCCTGATGATCTCTTTACCGTCCGCACATCAAGCAACCCGCTTCTCCGAGCAAGTAGGCCGAACGGGTCTCTTCCAAAAGGCTTTCTATATGGGCAGCGGCATAATTCTGAAGCCTTAAATGTCTGTAGCCTTGAATTGGGCTCTTTGCAATCTTGACAATTCCCCTTTCCCTCTTCCGTTCTCAGGAAGTCGATTCCGTGTCGCCGAAATGACCATCAATCCTACGTTTCATGTCGATCATAAGCTTTTCTTGCGATTCCATATGCTGGATAAATTCGGTCTGCTGCAAGGTGGTTTGTACAAGCAGTCGCTTTGCTTCAGCATGTACTTGTTGAAGTTGAGATAGTTCACGCCGAAGCTCGGCAACCTGGTCTGGTGCTGTTGCTGGAATCGGGTTGGCCACCGTTGCCGTTCTATCACTTGTTTCAAGGTCCGTATGGCCAGGGTCCACGATATTTGCGTTGCTTGTTTCTCCATGCACCGAGAGAGTATCTCCGAGCATGCCTTTGTAGGGCAATCTCTCACATGTTTCGGGGACATGAGCTTGTCGTGGGGATGGTCTACAACAAGACCCCGTAACGACAAAGGGCCTGGCACGCCTATCGGGTAGTCCTCGATCTTTGACTGCGGCCACGACATCCTGGTCAACCCGAGTATTGGTGCTTTTGTTTGCAACGCTCATCTGCTCGTCTTTATTCTTGATATTCGACGGAATGACTGGTTGCATCGGATTCGCGCGGCTTCCTGTTCAGAGATGCTGCGGTCGCTGGTCTTTGTTCGAATCAATGTCTCCTAGTCATGGTCCTCGTTACGATCAAAAATCCCTGAAGTGTGTATGGTAATCTGATACTGTTAGCCGCGATGGAAGCCGTGGGTGAACTAATTTGTCTCAAAAATACTGAGATCCTCTGGCGCTCCATTGACCTCAATTGCTACTGTCGGGTTCTTAACTCACAATATCGAACTTCTCCTCGATTTTCTCTTGGTTAGAATTTGGACTCTCATCTGCTTGGATTTCTTGGAGTCCTTCGATTTCTAGTTCATTCCAGGGAGTATTGCCGACATCTTGCTGCTTGCTGTTGAAAGTATCGAGACCTTTAGACGCGCCAAAAACAATGTCAAGTTTCTTGGGGCTGTTGCCCGAACCATCTCCTTGGGGCTGCTTCTGTGGCTCACTGGAAGACTTGCAAGTGCGCTTCCTCTTCCTACTGCCGTATTCTACAAAACCAGCTACCTTGTCGAAGGCATGGAAGCGCTTCCCATCCCCAGGCGAGCCTGGCCATCTCTCACCCAGGACAGGCCACCAATGAGGACGAGCAGAAGCTCTTCCGGGCCAAATGTTGTTCTCAAGGTCTATCCCAGGATATCTCTGTTTGATCAGAGTGGCAAGGTCGGAGTGTAGTAGCCTGGTGCCCACGTCGTCTTTCCATTGCTTCTTAGCGCTGCCTCGCAGTTCTTGGTATTGCCGTCGTTTGTCGATAAAAAGAAGGCGTAGCCCGTAGAAGACTCCCCAAACGACGTCGCGCTTGTTGGTCGTGTATCGGAGAAAGACCCAGTGTTGGGTCGGATCGTTCTCTGACCTGTCGTCGGGTCGGAGGTAGGTTGCCACGAACTTGCACTCTTCGAGCTCAGGCTTGCGCATCAAGTTTTTGTGGCGGTCTAGCCATTCGTTGTATGCTTTGAGAACGGGCGCCAGCGCGAATGGGATGTGCATTCTTCCAGGAGCATTCATTGCTGGTATGTTGTAGTCAAGGCGGGACCCCAAGAACGAGAAGATGAGGCTGACAAAAGGATGAACCCAAAATAAGACACCTCCAATGAAACCAAGCCTACGCTTGTCTGTCGGAAGTAAGAAAATTCAGCTCGGCGTCACAAGCAGTATTGACATTAAGGCCCTGCCAGGGTCGGCTTTACCTTGGACCTTCATGTTGCTATCTATCTGAACTTTCCTGGTCTAACTTCCTGTTTGTTGCATACCTGGTACCAGGTGCCTAGTCCTGCATGCAACCGCTACCGATGTCGGCCAAAGAAGACCGTCTACCAGGACAATAGGATTGCTTCATCAAGCTTGCGCAGTGGCAAGAGAAGTCCATGGCAACGTCATGTTCGCAAACAGTCGAGACAAACAAGTTGCTAGCGATCACGCACTCTCCTGCATTGGAGACAAACACCCGCGTCATAGAGAAGTTTGGAATATATATTCGAAAATAATGTCCAAAATATGGTGCCAGGGACTGAGCTCCCGTCCATTAGATTTCCACGTCTATTTCGGCGCTCTGTCGCCCCTTTGAAAGACGAAAAGCGCCTCATCCTTGCCTCCGAAGCTAGGCAGTGGTATTTGAACGACCTTGGTCCAATCCTTATGTTCGTTCGCCATGTACTCGGACATGGTCCACTTCTTGAAGCCCGTGTAGCCGTTGTGGTTTTGCGTACCCACAACTGCTATCGTGTCGCCCTGGTATGCCTTGACGAGGTCGCGGGTGAAGCCACCTTCTGAGCCTCCCCCTATGCTCCCGCCCACCACGGGGTACACCAGCAACAGTACCATGTCTTTCCCATTTTTGTGCTTCTTCAACCACTGCACGCCATCCGAGATGACAGTGTCGTCGACCCAGTTGACCCTCCACTCACTCTGCATGTTGTCGACGGGATTGACCGTCAGCCCATAACGACGCAGCATGTATGCCCAATAACCATTGCCAGAGCCAATATCAGCCACAGTCCTGCCGTTCGAAAGTAGCCTGAGTATTTCCAAAGACTCATGCGAAGGTGTCGCGCAGCCAAAGTGGTGCATGAAAATAGGGAGCACATGGTGACTTCCGGTTCTTCTCTCAGCTGACGGCGACGGTCCACACCACTGTAGAGCCCGGCAAGACCACGCCCAAAAGTCAAAGTATGGATTCTGCGGTGCAGACTTTTTCACCTTTGGTATGGTGAGGGTTGTCTCCCTCGAAGGGTGGATGAAGCGCTTTGAGAGCAGATTCTCTGCAACTTCGGCACGCAACGAGTCTTTCTTGGCATTTGTGCTGAAGTTCTTCAGCGCAGATGAGGTCAGTGTGCCAGGAGCAAAGATTGATACGTAGGCGTCGATATCTGCCTTGGACGGATGCCCTTTCTTGGATAGTAATGTCAACACAGCCCTTGAAGTACGTTCCGTGTTTTGTAACCCACCGATGTTCCGTCTTCGTTGTGGTACCAATCGTGGAGTCCTTTTTCATCCCCAAGCTCAACGATGTGTTGAACTTGTGCGAGCTTCACGCTGACCATCGCATGATAGGTGTATTGATCAACCTCTGCCAGGTCAAAAATGACTCGGCTGGCATTGTACAGGTCATCTTTGAGAAGTAGTTCGTTGGCTTTCTTGAGACGTTCCGAGTCCTCGATGAGGTTGTCCGGCTTGAATTTGGGACTGTCGACGCAGTGGACAAAATGACCTGCGTGCGACATTGTGTCTAGTGAGCGTCAGTGTTTTTGGATCTTCGTCCGTGTGCTGGTGATAGATTGCATTCTCCTTGTCATTACGATGATGTTGACATGAGTCCCGGAGAAGCGGGGCTTGCGAACCACAATATGAACATTAATTTATTCACTCTTGCTCAACGCCATTTTCTCACGAGTAAGGTAGGATGGAATTTGGGACATACTTCTGCAGATTAAGGTGCTGTACGGACTTGCCTGACACGTAAGTGCCTGGTGCTTTGTGTGTGATTTTGGAGACGCTTGCGGAAGTCTGCTAGGTGTGCGCAGGGTAGGCAGGTGCTAATGACGGCAATTGCCGCTAACGCGGCTGGATGTTGGTGCTTAACGCGCTCCCGCACTCACGCAACGCGTCTCCCCCCACGAGGAAAGTTCACGGATCAAGAAACACATACCCACTCACTCAATGCCGGGTGCATGATCGGGTCGAGAATATTTGAACGCCACTGCGCATTCATGTCAGAATTGCATCCACCTCAACATCCCTTTATGCCATTCGAAGAGCGTCCCGATGTCGACCACCCGCCGCCGTTCGCGCAGCGCACTCGAGGAAGATGACAGCGACGTCGACACCGTTGATGGCACGGAGCCCGCATCGCCCAAGAGGATGCGAAGAACAGACTCTATCATCGACGACAATACGCCCGAGCCGAGTGGATATGTGAATGGCGATCGCCAGCATGAAAAGATCGCCAAGGTGTCGGAAGACGACTACGCCCCTGGTGCCATTATCCGCGTCTCCGTCAAGAACTTCGTCACGTACGAAAAGGCCGATTTTTTCCCTGGCCCAAACTTGAACATGGTGATTGGACCGAACGGGACAGGCAAAAGCTCGCTCGTGTGCGCCATCTGCTTGGGTCTAGGCTACACACCAAAACACCTCGGGCGGGCAGGGCTCGTGAAAGAATTCGTGAAGCATGGCAAAGATATGGCCACCATCGAGATTGAACTTCGCAAGCGAGAGAAGGACCGACGAAACTATATCATCAAGGTGCAGATCAGGCGTGAGCAAAACTCGCAGAAGTGGTGGTTGAATGGCAAGGAGTCAAGCCATAAGAATATCCAGACACTGATGCGCGAGCTCAAGATCCAGGTGGACAACCTCTGCCAGTTCCTGCCTCAAGATCGAGTCGTGGAATTCGCGGCTTGCACTCCTGTCGATCTGTTGCACGAAACACTCCGCGCTGCTGCCCCCGAGGAGATGCTCGAGTGGCAGTCTAAACTGCAGGGTCTCCACGCGGAGAAGAAGGAGATGACGGCAACCAACGATGCCGACAAGGATTACCTCGCGAACCTCGAAAATCGCCAGCAAGGCTTGCAGGCTGATGTGGATAGGCTCCGGGAACGAGAGGAGATCCAAAAGAACGTTGATAATCTTAAGTCGGCGCACAAGATGGCACTCTACCAGGACGCGCGCCAAGCTCACGTGGCCGCGAAAGCGAAGCGCGACGAGGCGAAACGGGCACTCAAGCGCCTCGAAGAGAATAGCGGTCCCTCACTGCAGGCTGTGAAAGACAAGCAAGATTATGCCACGCGAGTGCAAGCTTTGATCCCTTTCAGAGAGAATGCGGCGCAACTGGCGAAGCGGGACATCGTGACATTGGCCGCGAAGGTTTCCAGTGCCGCCTCAGAGGTGAAGGATGCCGATCACAGCATTGAAGCGGAGAGGAGCGGCTTCACCAAGCAAAGGAAGGAGATGGGCACAATCAAAGCAACAATCAACAGTATTCAAGCCAAGCTGCGAAAAACACCCCCCCCGAGAGACTGGTCTGATGTCAACCACAAGATTGTAAGTAAGAATTGGATGACATGAGGGCCGACACGCTGACAATTTTGAAGCGCAGCATGTCACATGAAGAGCGAGAGCTCGGTGCTGAAGACGATCGTCTCAAAGCCCAGATCCACAACATTATGGAGGAAGGCAAGGCTAAGAGGCGGGAAATCCAAACGACGGAGAAGAATATTGAATCTTTCAACACTCAGCAAGGGCAGCAAATGGCACTCATGAGACAAAACTTCCCCGAACATGCTAAGGGCTGGGAATGGGTACAGGAGCACCAGAATGAGTTCGAGAAGGAGATCTTTGGGCCGGCCATGATCACTTGCTCAATTAAAGACGAGCGATACTCTGATCAGGTGCAGTCTGTACTTGGCCTAGAGGATTTCACCTGCTTCACCGCGCAAACGACCAACGACTTGACGAAACTCAACGACCAGCTCCTAAGAACCATGAGCTTGAGTGTCGCTACTCGTTCATGCGCAAATCCCCTCTCGTCCTTCAAGACGCCTGTGGCTTTGGAGGAGGCTAGGCGTCTGGGGATGGAAGGCTTCGCCATCGAGTACGTGGATGGTCCTGAGCCCGTCCTGGCCATGCTCTGCGCCAATTCCGGCTTACACAGAGCTGGCATATCATTGCAGGAGCACACCGACCAGCAGTACGAGGCGATTGTGCAGAGCGGTGCGATCAACTCATGGTCTGCCGGAAGGACTGCGTACACTGTTCGCCGCCGGCGCGAATACGGACCTGGCGCTGTGACGACGGTAACGAAACCAGTTAGAGAAGGTCGTTTCTGGAAATCACAGGCTGTCGATTCCGCCGAGCTGAACGAATACAAGCTTCGACTTGCCCAGGCATCGGAAGAGTTTGCACAGCTCAAATCAAAAGCAGCTGACTTCAAAACCCGGAAGGGTGAGATAGAGGAAAAGCGAGTCAATTTGCGCACCGAAATCGTAAGTATCGGGACATGCCGTGCTTCTTGCTGTGGCCATCTAACGATCTCTCCAGGAAACATTACAAGCCGAGAAGAATGAGCTCCAAAGAGAGTGGCAGCGTTTCAATAGCTTGCCAGACCAGCTGGGTAATGATCATCACGGCGTCTCACACGGAACCAGCTAACGCATCGACCAGAGGCTGAGGAAACGAAGAAGAAAAATTGCGAGAATGAAATGACCGCGATCCGCCGTCGTATCGGCGACTTGAATCTGGAGTACGACAAGGCCACCGTCAAACGTGCTAAATTGGCGTTGCAGCACGCAAAAGCCCTTGAGCAGTGCCGAATCGCTCAAGATGCCCTCCTCGAGACAAAAATCTGGCACCTCGAGGCCGAGTCTGATCTAGAGGGCCTGACAGCTCGCAATGCTAGCATCATGCAGCAACTTCAGGACCAGAAAAGTGTCTTTGGCGAAGCTGCCGCAGAGGCTGAGACAGCGCGAACCATGGGCAAGGAGTACCGGGAAGCCGTTGAGATCATGATGGGAGAGAATCCGAGCGAGGAATGGCGTGCTACCATCACCGACCTCTGCCAAGACAAATCGGCACCCGATCTCGTGGTCGAGTACGAAGCTGAAGAATCCAAGCTTGAGCTTATACAAGCTGCCAATCCCAGCATCATGCGGGAGTTTGAGCGGCGGGCAGCCGACATTGAGCGTCTGAAGCGGAAACAAGCCAACTTACAGGAGAAGCTGCAGAGACTCAACGAAGGCATCGAGGCGCTCATGGCCAAATGGGAGCCAGAGCTGGACAATCTGATTGACAAGATCGACAGGGCGTTTGCCCACAACTTTGAGCAGATTCAATGTGCTGGCGAGGTACGCGTCCACAAGGACGACGACTTTGACCTCTGGGCCATTGATATTCTCGTCAAATTCCGGTAAGCCGCCCCCTTAATCCTCTTCTCCCTCGTGGAAGACCACCCGATTCTGACTGCGTCTAGTGAGAGCGAGGAACTCCAGCAACTGACCGCCCACCGTCAGTCAGGCGGCGAGCGCGCCGTGTCCACAATCTTCTACCTCATGGCCCTCCAGTCGATGGCGCAGTCCCCGTTCCGCGTCGTCGACGAGATCAACCAGGGTATGGATCCTCGCAATGAGCGTATGGTCCACGAGCGCATGGTGGACATTGCGTGCAAAGAGCACTCGAGCCAGTATTTCCTCATCACACCCAAGCTGCTGACGGGCCTGCGCTACGATCCGCGCATGAGGGTGTTGTGCATTGCCAGTGGAGAGCACATGCCGGAAGACGGAGAGAGGTGTGATTTCAGAGAGTGCCTCAAGGTGCAGAAGATGTTGCTCCAAGCGTAATCAGTAATAGAAGTCACATCGGTACACACACACAGCCAAGGACGGACATAGACGGAAGTAAAACACAATTGTGAGCGATTTCATATCAACATTGGCCATTTCGTCCGCATTCCACGTTCAGAAAAGACTAGACGGTCTAAAAAAAGTACCAACTTCCGCATCCATTGTACATATATCGCTGCCTCGAGGCACCATGCTGCTGCTGTACACCTTCTCTTCCTCCACTGATGATGAGGGTGCCAGCTATGTGGCCAGCCGAGTTCCAACGCCCGTGAGGTCGCGCAAAAAAGGTTGTATATATGGGTCATTACGAACCAAAGACAACATCGAGAACAAAAACATGAAGCAGGAAACGGGGGAAATAGGAACCGTGTTGTAAATCAGACCTTGCTCAGCAAAGAAAACGGTGACTGTAGCATGAGGGAGAAAATTAGGCATCGTTCATAACGAGCAACAACACGACGAACGTTCGTGAGTAACTGTACGAGCACAGGCTATGCTGGCGAAAGAAAAAAAAAAAAAAAAACCCCAACTCCACTTCGACCGATGACAATTGCTTTCAAAGTGTACAATTCGTGAGAGGCGCCAAGGACGGACACTACCATCGCGCGGAGAGCCCGCACCTGTGGGATTGGGTATAATATGCATCAAAAACGCATTCGCGGTATCCAAAAACGCAAGTGCCACGTTATGGCAAAAGAAAAAAAGACTTAGACGTGGCGGACCTTGTCGACGGAGACGGTGTTCTCCTCCGTGTCGAGTTTCTTCCGCCAGTCCGCGAGACTTTCGCTCAGCCCGTTGTCATCTGCGTCTTTCCTGCCAGAGACGGCGTTGGCGTCGAGATCAAAGTTGGTGCTGAGCCGGTAGTTTTTGTTGGTGGCCTCCCAGTGGGTTCGCAGGGTTTCGAGCTCGCTCGCCAGGCTATCGAGCGCCGCGCTGTTCCTGGCGTTGGAAACCTCATTGCCAGCGTCGTGCAGCGACTCGAGCTCGGAGCTCTCGTTGCGGACATGCCCCATGCTGTGGGCGCCATTGACACCGCCGCCCTGCTCGGAGTTCATGCTGGGGGCTTGCTTGCTTTGGCGACGGTAGTTGTCGACCGAGTGCTCGACCTGGTCGAGGAGCAGGGAGACCTTTTGCTCTGCATCATAAGCACGCTGCTCGAGAAGCGCATTCTCAGAACGAAGCTGCTCAAACTGCGTCTTGTGGGAACCGAAATCCTTGGTGACCTGCTCGCCGTGCGTCAAAGCCTCATCGCGTTGGCGCTGGACGGCCCTGAGCTCTGTGCGGACAGTCTCCAGCTCTTTCTCGAGATGGACACCAGACTCGCGAAGCTCACTCTCCAGACCCTCAATTCTCTTCTGCAGGGCCACGCGCTCAGCCTCCCAATCAGCGGCTGCCGCGTTCGCCTGGCCATCAGACTGCAGGCGGCCCTCTAGCTCCTCAATGTCGGATTTGAGCTGTCCGTTCTCAGTCTTGTATCGGTTAAGCTGCTCTTTGAGCTGCTTTAGCATTTGTTCGGTTCCCTTAACGTAATGGACAGCTGACCGGTAGTCGTTCTCAAGTTGCGACAGTTTCTCGCGGTACATGGTGTCCGCTTCTTGCTGTTGGACAGCAAAGGCCTGTTTGGACTCTTCGTGCGCTGCATGAGCGCCAGCCAGCTGCGACTCGAGCTCCTTCAGTCGGCCCTGCTCAGGAGAGCTTGTGCGGGGGCTGGCGAGACCGCGGGCCCGAACAGCGGCAGTCGGACTGATACCACGCTCGCTGAGGATGTTCTTGAGTGCGCTATGCTGCACCGTCATCGCATTGGTCTCCAACTGCTGTGCGGCCAGGCGATTCTTGAGATCCGTGTTGAGAGCCTGAAGCTGCTGCGTGTCCTTGAGAGCGGACTGCAGTTGACGGCGGATGCCCACTCCCTCGCGACTGGACTGTTCTTGGTACTGCTCCAGTCCAGCGATGCGCTCCTCCGCACTTCGTAGTTTGTCGGCTGCGGCATCGGCTTCCCGCTGGTATTGCTTGACCAAGTCATTGGATGTCTGAACCTGTTTTTGCAGTGCGAGGACACGGTCACTCTCGGCCTTGCCAGACTTGCCTTCATCGCGAACAGAAATCTTGTCAAGGCCGGCGATGACCGCCTCACGATGCGTTTTGGCCTCGTGGGCATGTCGCTCCGCCAGTTCCTCGGCATCCCTGAGGCGCTGTGTGACTGCAGCCAGCTCTGCAGTGCGAGCCTCAAGCTCCGCTTTAAGCTTGTTGTATTTGCTCTCCAACACCTCGCACTGCGCCCGCTCCTCATTCAACTTGGTCTGTAGGTGGGCTTTGCCGTCCTCAGAGGATGCAATGGCGGCTCGGAGAGAGACAAAGGTGGCATCATGGTCCTCCGAGGAGCCCTTGACGTTCTCATATTTCGAAACGACATCGTCCTTCTCAGCCTTGAGCAACTCCAACGAGGCAATGGCTTCGGCGGAGGCAACAGACTTCTCGCGCGCCTCTCGCTGAGCGGCATGTAGTTCAGCCTTCAGGCGCTCCACCTCGGTAGAAGTTTGCTGCTTGTAGGTCTCTAGAGCCGTCATTCTCTTCTCGGCAGCGTTGGTCGTGTCGTCGGCAAGTTTCCTCGCCTTCTTCTCATTATTCAAATCAGCGCGAGCTTGAGCCAGCTGGCTCTGTAGCTCCTTCTGATATTGAAGCGCCGCCCCAAGCTTCCTCTCCATCTCTCCCGTCCTGAAGCTGGCATCTGCAGGGGTGAAAGTTTGGTCCGCACTGGCATCACCCAGCTGAGAAGCTAGCTTGGCCTTGGCGTACAGTGCTTCTTGAACAGCGGCATCCCGTTGCCGTTCCACCTCGGCGATTTGCTTTGAAGCCACGGTTGCTTGCTGGTCTATGGCGCCCTGGACCTTGGCGAGCTCGGTCCTCATGGCCAACAGAGCTTCGATCAGTGGTCGATCCTCATCATCGAAAGTTTCCGGAATCTTGCCGTCTAGCACAGGGCTCGACGTGCTAGGAACGAACCCGCCTTTTCGGGCGAGTTCCAGCTCCGAAGCATACCAAGCATTTCGATTCCGAGCAGAGTCCAGCTCTTTGAGTAGTACAACGGTCTGCGAGTTGCGGCCCGATGATCTTCTCGACAGGGGGTTACTCGGTTGGCGGGTAGGCGGAGGAGGAGATGCAGGTGGCTGCATAGCCTTGAGGCCAGGCTCGATGGCGCTGTCGACAGATGCTTTACTACCAGTCTGGCGGGCCTGAGACCTTGACGTATCGGAACTCTCCTGTCTTGGAGCGCTCTTGGTTTGTTGCGCTTGCGATTGCTGTGTTGGCGTGCTGCGCCCGTTCATACCAACGCCAACGGGGGGCGGAATGACTGGTTCATTCTCCATGATAGGCTCCCTGGTGATAGGTGAGTTCTGGTTGGAGCCAATCAATGGCGATCCAGCCGGCCCAGCACGGTCTGCAGACGGCCCACGTACTCTGCCGATTGCCGATGCTTGCTCGCCAGGGCGCATAGGTACAGGGCCGGATGGAGGTGGTCCAGCTGCGCTCGGTGCAATCCGTGGGAGTTTGGAGCCTGGCCCACCAACGACCCCTTGGAACCCCTGAACACCAGCTTCGGCATAATGTGGTGGCGGTGTACGATGACCATTTGGCGGCGTTCCTGCGTTGTTGGTAACCCCAATAAGCCTGCGCTGGTCAGGTCCATTGGAGCCGTCTCGAGTCGAGCCGATGCGAGCGGCATTCGAACCGTCAGATACGCTGGGGCGCCTTCCTTGACCGTGTGGCAGGCGTTGTTGTTGCGACTGTTGGTTGTCGGATGGATACCTGATCTTGGTGGTGTCGAGGACGTAGAGAATTCCCAAGTCATTGGCGGACGAAGTCGCTGAGCTGGGCTCGCCTCCGACTGTAACGATAGACTTGCCCACGGTGGTCATGCTGTGGCCGGAGCGCGGCGAGGGCGAGGGGCCCATGTTCTGGAATGTATACCACCTGCGGGTCGAGATTCGAAAGGCCGCCAGGTCACCAAGATCGGTACCCTCCTCAGTCCGCCCACCGAAGATGTACATGACGTCGTCCACCAAGGCTGCCGCATGCCCTTCGCGCGCAGCTGGAATGTAACCTATACAGTCAAGTTGGGCCCACTGGTTGAAGGCTGGATCATAGCACCAAACATCGTTGAACCACTGGATGCCGTTTGTGCCGCCGAATCTGGGATCATGTCAGATCAGATGGTCGACGGGGATCGAGTGTAGCTCGCAGTTCCACTCACAGGTACATCTTGTCGTTGTATGTGATCACCGAGTGATTTGTCCTAGCAGCCGGGGTGTTCTGGGAGCTGTCGCCATGCAGCAAGATTTCCCAGCGGTTATTGGGCAATTGGAGCTGGTTCAAATCGAACGCCGACATGTCGTTCATGAACTCATTCTCGACCTGTCCGCCAAAGATGTAAATTTTGGAACCGATGATATTCAGAGAATGACCATAGCGACCAGACGGACGGGGTCCGGCAGGTAGAGCTCGCGACCATTGACGTGTAGCTGGAGCATGTTAGCGTGGCTACGCAGCATGCCACCTCGTGCGACTCACAAGTGTTCAACAAGTATAGGGTCTCATCCAAAACGTCTGACTCGTCGATTTTTGTATCACCGCCGTAGACGATAAAGGCATTGCCCACCAACAGGCTCGAGTGGCCAACTCTTGGGCCGGGACCCTCGGCTGTGGTAGCAAGCGGGTAGCAAGCCATGTTCCCGCCAGCCTCGATCATCCACAGATCACCTTTGACGGTGGAACTATTGATCAAGCCACCCATCATGTATATGTCACCTTCCTTTGACGATATCGAGTTGACGGCTGCGCCATAGCGAGGGAACGGTGAAGGGTGCGACGACGTGTATGTGAGTCGGCGCTGAGACCAAGGGTACAGAGACGCATTGTTCATGGCGGGCGGAGGCGGCCCATTGCGAAGCTGCACGTTGACAAGACAGTCAGAAACAAATACTGTATCATTATTTGGCTAGTGAAGATGACTTACCGGTAGATCGCTTTGCGGTTGAGCCTGTCGCTGCTGCTGGACTAGCGGCTGAGCGAGTTGCGGTGGCAGCTTCGGGTTGTCTATGCTCCCGCCCCTGCGTTCGTGTGTTCCCCGGTCGGGACTGTTGGGCATGCCTTCGGTCTCGATTGAGTTCTTCTCAACCGAGTTGAGGCTCCCTGTAGGCGTTGCGCGATGTTGCGATGAGCTCTTCTCAGACGCCGGTCCGCGACCGGCGGCATTCTGTGGTGATCCTTGTCCTGCGCTGCCATCGCGACTCGCTAACGATCGGTCCTGGTTCTTTTTCGATTTGGAGAAGAGAAACGCCATGGCTGACGACAGCCGCTGTGCGGCGCTCGTAGATCAACTATCAAGGCTATGCACGTCGTTGTTGGGCGATGCGCTTGATGCTTGTCGCTGCGGGTGCGGACACGCAAGGCAAGTTTGTACGGAGTAGCAGACGGGTCGGTCGCACGGTCGAAGGCGGAAAAGGAGTGCAGCAACGGGACGGTGGATGGAACGCTCGACCGACGATGGACTTGCTGAAAGAGGGCTGGTAGCAAGGCGAGTCGGTAATGAGGAAGTGGTGTTCTTGCTCCAAGTCTGAGGATGGCTGGGAGTTCTGCTGGTGCTGGTGGAGGCTTCAGGGGTGAACGTCCCGAAATTTCTGGCAAGGTCAGCCTCCCATCCTTTTCGGGGATCCAGCCAGGTCTACGCTACCAGGATGACGGCGGCAGTTGGCGGAAGCGGAAGAGTTGCTTGATACTTTTAAATGGAGCAGAAGAATACACACAGACTGGGCAGACACGCAGTGTTAAGGACGGCGCCGCTGCGAGCAGGGCAGAAAGTGAGGCGCATCGACTCGCGATGTTGGTGAAGAATGGGTGAACGGACAGATGGTGGATGAACAGAGCACGAAGCGCAATAATTACCAGGTACGGATTGCAGCACAAGGGGCGCCGCCAGTGCAGCAGATTACTTTCCTACTTACTACGTAGTACGTACGTACTTTACCCAACATGGCAATGTCCAGGAGTTCAGGACGGTTGTTGAACTTGTTGGTGGGCAGGCTTGAAGCCAGCCCAGAAGGCCAGGCAGCGTACACTATATTCCAGGTCACTTGCACGCCCGGTAGGTGCTGTGCTCACTGTGATGTGAGGACTGGCAGCACTGGATCGCAAACGCCAGGCACCACCCGCCCAGAACTTCCGGGTTGAGCTAGCGTGCAGCCGTGCGCTGTGGCCCCAGCCAATCGAAGCCAGCCGCAGTAATGTCAGGGGGCGGGACCCGCCCAGTCTGGGAATTGATGTGTCCAATGAGTGGACCTCGAGTCGCTGGTGACCCACCCAGTCAACCACTGCATCAGCTGTCACTCAGGGCAATTTGACTGAGCTGGGAGTGCTCACATTGTCTCATTGCCCGGCCTCACCAGGCTTGGGAATGCACACCAGCCACGTTGACTTTACGAGTACGGAGTATAGCGGACGGGCTGCAGGGGCAGAATGAAGTGGCCTTGGCAGACAGTGGTTTCAAGATTCCTTCCATTGATATATCCGGGCTGCCATTGCAGAGAGCAAGCAAGGGGTTGGTAGTCATTTATGTGTGCTTTTAGGCCAACACTCGAAAAATAACACATAGCAAGGAGACGATTATCCGCTGCTAGATTGATGACCATCACTCTTTTTACTTGCTTGTATTTGTAATGCTTGCCCATCAGAAGCGCGCATCTAGATAATGTCGGCAACAATTTCATAGCAAGTTTGAGCGTGATGTAGGTTAGGTGTCGCAGCCCAGTCACTTGGGGTACTATGTGCCTCACTTGACTGCTAGACCAGTGAGCCATGGCGAACATGCTTCCCAAGGCCAACAATGTATGTTGGCGCATTGCTGATACCTTGAAAATGCTTCCAAGTCTATTGCTTGGTATTACTAGTAGTATTCATGCAGTTGTTCTTGATGAGTGTACCTCATGAGCTCGCTGACGAATGAGGGTCCAGCCAGTCGTCATAACAAGTTCGAGTACTCCGTAAGTAGGTAATCAGGTCTGGGCTGGGCTGGACTGGACCAGAAACTCAACTTCTAACTTCGGACCAAAGTAAACGTTTTGCAGCCGCGCACCGACTTTTGACTTCCCTAAACTGGTCGCATGCTTCTCCATTTCTGCAACTCTTCTTGCCCTGGTTGATCGCATGCGCTTGATTCCCCGCAGCAGGCGAGCCATTCGTTCTTGCGACATGCATGCGTTGTGCGACTGAGCTCTCATCATGACGACCGCGTCTGCGCAGACGCCTCCAGCACCGCAACCACAGCACTCCTCCCGTCGCAACGCTGCCGCCTCATCAAAACCCCAAATGCTGGACCATACACAGCGCTCCTCCTTCGCCTCGCAAGCGGATACGATACGAGATGCGAGCTCTGGCCAAGGTGGCGCCACGAGGAGGACGTCTCGCCAGGATATGAATGGGACGTCTTCCCAGGGCAATGGCTCGATCAACGGAGAGACATCGCGGTTCCGCACGAGACCTCTCGGCAGCTATGGCGATGACAACGGATCAAATGACGAGGACGAGCGAAGACCGACGAGCGCCCCTGGACGAGAGAACGACAACGCCATCACACGCGAGGCGCGGGACGATCTAGGCTCCGCGCGCCCTATGCGACCGGGCAAGCCCCAACTTTTAAGATCGAAGAGTGAATTTGGACCTCGGCCGGTTCCGCGAGACGACACGCAACCCGAACAGGACCTGTCGGACTGGGGCGCGCGGCATGGCTTCGAAGACCACTATCAATCGGAGCAGATCATATCGCAGCTTGCTAATGTAGGTACTAGCCAGGACTCACTGGTGGCTGTACTGACTGGCTTCATCAGAATTGGTGCATGTATTTTGCCGAAAAACGACACGAAACGACTGGCAAGCCCGGAGCGCTGCCGTACGAGCTGCAGGAATGGCGACAGCGCGATCGGCTCAAGACTGTATCGGCTGCTTTGGCTGTCTGTCTCAACATTGGTGTCGATCCCCCGGATCAGCTCAAGACAAATCCGGGAGCAAAGCTGGAGGCGTGGACGGATCCCACCCTACCCCCAGCCCAGAAGGCTCTGGAGAACATAGGAAAGGCCTTGCAGGCTCAGTACGAGAACCTGGCCATCAGAGCGCGTTACAAGCAGTACCTAGATCCCTCGGTGGAGGAAACCAAGCGGTTCTGTATTTCTCTGCGCCGCAATGCCAAGGAGGAGCGAGTTCTGCTGCATTACAATGGACACGGCGTGCCGAAACCCACGGCATCGGGGGAAATTTGGGTCTTTAACAAAACCTACACCCAGTACATTCCGGTGTCGCTGTTCGACTTGCAGCATTGGCTGCAAGCCCCGACGATATTTGTGTGGGATTGCTCCGAGGCGGGCAACATCCTGAACAACTATCACCGGTTCATCGACAAGCATGAGGAAGAGGAAGAGAAGGCTCACCAGGAGAATCCAGCCCACGAAAAGATCAACTTCAGGCCCTACATTCACCTGGCTGCCTGTTCCGTCAAGGAGCAGCTGCCGACAAATCCCCGTCTACCAGCCGATCTGTTCACAGCGTGTCTCACGACGCCTATCGAGATGGCTCTATGGTTCTTTGTACTGCAAAACCCGCTCAAGACCAGCATCACTCCTGAGAGGGCCAAGGAGTTGCCGGGCCGTCTGCAGGAAAGACGCACACCGCTGGGGGAGCTTAACTGGATCTTCACTGCCATCACCGATAGCATCGCTTGGACATCGCTTCCTCGAGATGTGTTCCGAAAGTTCTTCCGCCAGGACCTCATGGTAGCAGCCTTGTTCCGCAACTTTTTGCTGGCGCAGCGAGTCATGATTGTCTACGGCTGCCATCCCCAGTCGTACCCTGTATTACCGGATACCCACCAACATCCGCTGTGGCAGACATGGGACCTCGCTGTGGATATGGCCTTGGCCCAACTCCCCATGCTTGAGAAGAAGGAATCGGACGGCATCGAGTACGAGTATCAACCTTCGACCTTCTTCACCGAGCAGCTGACTGCCTTTGACGTCTATCTCGCAAGAGGCGATGCCCTGGCGCAACGGCCCCCTGACCAGCTGCCCGTCGTTCTCCAGGTGCTGTTGAGTCAGCAGCATAGAGTGCGCGCACTCGTGCTGTTGGGAAGATTCCTAGACTTGGGACCCTGGTCTGTTCAGTTGGCCTTGAGCATAGGCATCTTCCCGTACGTCCTGAAACTTCTCACGTCAGGCGCCAATGAGTTGAAGGCTGTCATGGTCTTCATCTGGTCAAGGCTCATAGCCGTCGACATTTCCTGCCAGGCTGACTTGATAAAAGACAATGGCTACAACTACTTTGCCCAGATCCTCAAACCATCAGAGCACCTGCCCGTGGTCGACGATTCAGAACACAAGGCAATGTGCGCTTTCGTGCTTGCGATGCTGTGCAAGGACTACAAAAGCGGGCAGGTCGTGTGCAACCAGACAGACATTATGACATACTGCTTGGAGCATCTCCATAACCAGCAGAACCACCTGGTCAGGCGGTGGGCATGCCTTTGCCTTAGCCAGCTTTGGCGAGACCTCCCGGAGGCCAAGTGGAGGGGAATACGCGAGAACGCCCACGTCAAGTTAGCATACCTGGCCAAAGACCCCAACACTGAGGTGCGCGCCGCCATGATCCACGCGTTGACGACATTCCTCGGCATTCCCGATTTGACAGAAGAGGTGGCCAGAATTGAAGAGGCGGTTGCGTGGACGATTCTCGACATGGGCAACGATGGCTGTCCCATTGTGCGCAAAGAATTCCTGGTCTTCCTGTCGCACTTTGTCGTTCGCTTCGAAAGCAAGTTTGTTGTTGCAGCCTACGAGCAGCTTCTCGAGGAGAAAGACTATCTGCAGTACCCTGCTCAAAGCAGTGACTTTGACCACAAGCCAGGTCTGCACTATGCTCGTCCCGAGAATCGCGACGAGACTGGCGGTGTCAAGCCTGACGCACAGGGCTTCTCCTACAATACGGTGTACATGGCCTGCTGGAAACATGCCCTCATTCTGAGTGTCGATCCTCACCCGGAAGTGCAAAGGTCAGCATCTATAATTGTCGACTACGTCCACCACGCGATCGCGCAGTCTGCCGTGGGCTCTGTCGCCTCTGGCCTCATGGCTGACATTCAGTGCCGGGCGCAGCGGCAGGCAAGCAGAAATGCTGCCAGCTACAGCCAGAAGATGAGCACGACCAGCGGGGGCAGCACCCCGCCGCTACCGTCTCCAGGCATTCTGCGTCGCACGGCGAGTCTGCTGTTCCCTTCTCTTGTCGGTGTGGACGAGAAGCCAAGCACGGGGATCACGTCTTCGACGCCCAGGTCTTCCAATCCCAAAGCCGTACATCCCTCGCAGGCAGCTGCACCGCCTGAGCAGAATGACGGGTCCAGCTCGCTGGGACCGTATCATGTGTGCCGGGAACCCATGTCTGGTGCCTTTGAGGAGCGAGACCTCTCGCTAGCGCCATCATTGCCACTGACCAGTGGGTTCTTGGACTGGTCCACGGAATACTTTAGGGAGCCGCAAATGAAACCGACAGAAGCTGACGAGCCGGGAAGCACAGAGTACAACGAACGATTATGGAGGCGATCCCGGAACGAGACCATCCTCCGCGATACCCAGCCGCTCAAGCAGTTTGCGGGGACGCATCGCTGGAATAATCAACTTGGCATCGTCAACAATGGTTCGCAGCCGTCGAGGATGACGTTCCATCAATTTGAGGACCACCTGGCCGTGTCCGACAACGGCAACACCGTCAACGTGTGGGACTGGAAGAACCATAATCGGCTGAGTCGCTTCAGCAACGGCAACCCAGAGGGCTCCAGGATCAGCGATATGAAGTTCATCAACGAGGACGACCAGGCCATGTTGCTAATGACAGGATCCTCGGATGGTGTGGTCCGGGTATATCGCGATTACAATTTTGATAGCAAGATTGAGCTGGCAACTGCATGGAGAGCCTTGACCGACATGGTGCCAAGCAACGTCAACTCAGGCATGGTGTTTGACTGGCAACAAGTGACTGGTCGCGTGCTGGTCGCTGGAGATGTGCGCGTCATCCGTGTATGGCACGCTGCTCACGAGATGTGCCTGATGGATATTCCCGCTCGCTCGGGATCGTGTGTCACGTCGCTCACATCTGACCAGATGACGGGTCACTTATTCGTCGCTGGGTTTGGCGACGGTGCCGTGCGGGTCTTTGACACCCGTGCTCGACCTCAGGACTCCATGGTGCGCAAGTGGAAGGACAACTCGGATCGCCAATGGATCAAGAGCGTACACATGCAGCGAGGCGGCCAGCGAGAGCTCCTGAGCGCGAGCCGCAACGGCAAGGTCAAGGTCTGGGACATTCGTATGGACTCTCCCTTGCATACATTCCAGGCGACACGGGACACTCTCCGCACGGCCAGTGTCCACGAACATCTTCCTGTCTTTGCTGTGTAAGTCAACAGTGTGTGCGTTTGTGAGCGCAAGCTAACAGTGTAAGGGGAACATCGGCGCATGCCGTCAAGGTGTTCAATCTCGACGGAATGGAGCTCTCTCGCCTTGAGCCGTACTCGAGCTTCCTGCAGCAGAGTCGCGGCTCGCCGATCTCGTCGACCGCATTCCACCCCCATCGCCCAATTCTCGGCTGTGCCGCCCGCGGCGACCATCACATCAACCTGTTCACATGCGACCAGGAGCCCCTGACGAGGTAGAGCCCCTTCAGGAACAGACCGTCCTCGCTACAGACGATCACCGACACGGAGGAGGAGCAGAGCAGTTTCATCGTGCTTTGAGATTGGCGCTTGATCTTACACAATTGTAATTTAGGGGCATTGATGCATGGTCACGTTTAGCGAAGGAGACGTGACAGATGGTGGCATGGCGTTATCTGGCGACCCATTTTGGTTCGATGTTGATCTCGATACACTGGATTCTAGCGGGTGTGGAAGTGGTTTTTTTTTCCCTTGCTTAGATACTTAATTAATCAGCATTTGGATGACAGCATGTTTGGGGTTTGGCACTTCTTTGACCCGCCCACATGATGAAGCTATTTCAATGTTAGTGTCTAGATGCAAATCATGTGCGCACACTAACAGACGCCACCCCTCTATGGCGGTTTGGCGGGGTTGACTTTGCACCCGCGCCTGCCCCGCCATGTCATGCCATGGTTTTTTGTACTGTTGCAGTCAGTTGCATCAATCGGCCAAGAGTCATCATTCATTCCCCTTTCTCACCTCGCCCTCGATTTGCTCTCGTGACGACCACGAATTAATACGGGTCAGCCTTCCCCACCGGCTCTATCAACTACTCCCACTTCGCACGCAGCATCTGAAAACCCAGAACCGCAACCATGGCCGACAAACCGACTGAACCCGCCCCCGAGAACCCTCCCGCTGCTGCTGCCCCTGCTGGCGGCGAAGAGGGCGGCGAAGCTGGTCCCTCCAAGAAGGCTCTCAAGAAGGCCGAAGCCAAGGCTAAGAAGGAGGCCGAAAAGGCCAAGCGCGCTGCTGAGCACGCAGAAAAACAGGCCGCCGCCAAGGCTGCCGCTGGCAACACCGAAGATCTCGCCAAGGACAACTACGGCCCCGAGACGAAGGCGACAAAGGTCGATGCCGAGCGCGTACACCTCAAGGACCTGGGCGAGCAACACCTGGGCAAGACCATCAAGCTGAGGGGATGGATCCAGAACTCAAGAATGCAGGGTGCCAAGATGTGCTTCGTGGAGATCCGCGAGGAGAGGAACTGGGCGATCCAGGGTGTCCTCGCCGCCAGCGCCGAAGGCAAGCCCGTGAGCCGACAGATGGTCAAGTGGGCCGGCGGTCTCAACCTCGAGGGATTCGTGCTGCTCGAGGGCCGCGTCGAGAAGCCCCTCGACCCCGTCAAGAGCGTGCGCGTGAGCGGCTACGAGCTGCACATTACAAAGTGCTACCTCATCTCCCCCGGCCCCGAGGTTCTGGGCATGACTTTTGCCGTGGCCAACAAGGCCGTCACCAACTTTGACGACGAGGACGCCGCGCCCGCCGCCACGGGCGTCGAGGAGGTCAAGGACGGCGTGGCGAACCTGAGCGTCGAGGGCGTGGCGGGTGCCAGCATGATCACGCACCTGAACAACCCGGCCATGCACAAGCGTGCTCCTGTGCAGCAGGCCATTGCTGATATCCGCATGGTGACTCGTAAGCTGTTCGCCGAGTACCTCGAGGCGCGCGGCTTCAACCAGTTTGAGCCCCCGTGCCTCATTGGCGCTGCATCCGAGGGTGGCTCCAACGTCTTTGGCATGACCTACTTTGACAAGCAGGCATACCTTGCACAGTCACCCCAGTTCTACAAGCAGTACGAGATTGCTGGCGGAAGGAAGCGCGTGTTCTCCATCGGACCTGTATTCCGTGCCGAGGTAGGTTTTCTTCCTCGATTAACCCCCGACGCAATGGGACAGACAGACTAAAGAATACTAGAACTCGAACACGCCCAGGCACATGACCGAGTTTACCGGTCTCGATCTGGAGATGGAGATTGAGGAGTCATACACCGAAGTCATCGACATGCTCGAGGGCGTCCTGCTCTTCATCCTGCGCAACCTGCGCGAGAAGTGCGCCGACCAAATCGCCATTGTCCGCTCCGTGTACCCATCGGAGGACTTTGCGTTCCCCGAGCCCGGGAAGGAGGTCCGCCTGACCTTCGCCGAGGGCCAGGCACTCCTTCGCGCCGAGGGCCCCGAGGAGTTCCGCAACGTGACCGACCACGAGGACATGTCGACGGCCCAGGAGAAGGCCCTCGGCGCCCTGGTCCGCAAAAAGTACGGCACCGACTTTTACGTCCTGGACAAGTTCCCCCAGGAGGCACGACCCTTCTACGCCCTCGAGGACCCCGAGAACCCCGAGATCACCAGGTCCTTTGACTTTATGATGCGCAACCAGGAGATCCTGTCCGGCGGCCAGCGTATACACGACCCCAAGGTGCTGGAGGCCCGCATCCGCAGGAAGGGCATCGACCCCAACTCGCCCGGCATCAAGGAGTACGTCGACGTCTTTCGTAGCTGTGGCGTTCCTCCTCACGGTGGCGGCGGCATCGGCTTGGACCGTGTGGTCGCTTGGTTCTTGAACTTGCCCAGTGTGCACCTGGCGAGCTTCTATCCCCGTACCCCCAAGAGACTGGCGCCATAGACGATGTGTGTAGACATTGATAGACACACTGTAATGACAAATGCAAGAGATGACGGAACCTCGCTCACAGATTCTAACCTTTGGGAACTCTGGCACTTCAAAGTTCGCCGTGCTGTGGTGAGCATGAATTGTGAGCTGGACTAAGGAACCAGTGCTCGACGAGTGGCTACTTTGTTTTATTCTGGCTTGTGTTAACAAGGAAACACTTTCAAGGATCGTGCCATTTGCTTCATCATCTGTGTGGCCATTTCGACAGGTGAAGTTGCCCCAGCGTACATAGGCGCGGCGTCTCTTGTCCGCCCTTTGCGTCTCGTTCGTACCTCTTCTTTGATAACAGAGCCCTCTATAAGCTTTAGGTTGGGCTAGCGGGACCTCGGCTATTGCGCCCTTTTTGAATATTGGGGGGGTCTTCGTCCCGGTTGCCGATTTCTCTTCTTCGAGGAAGATTCAGAGACATCACAGCTCGACTAGGAGGGTCAAGACGGCATCACATGCATCGATCTCAGCCGATTGAGCGTGTCCACAGAAAATACTGCTAGTTATTCCGCATTCTTTTACAAAAAAAAAAAAAAAAAAAAGTGATACGCCATCCAAGCAAGGGTATTGCGAGCGTGGTTGCCGCATCCGAGCCATCGTCGTACTGGTGTGTGCCGCGTGTTAGATATGTAGAGGAAGTCTAATAGGCGGTGGACTCGTAAGCGCCATGAGTAGCATAGAGTTTACAGTTTCGTCTATCTGCCAATCAGGCGTGACAGCAAGGACGAGGATTATGCTCTGTACGCGTACCGCATTTTGCCTTTGACGCCTTTGACGGTGATATGTCTCGAAGAAGCTGGAGCCTCCCCCCCCCGCCCCTCCGCAATATCTCCTACGTCGGTTTGATGCGCCACTCCACTGTACTTTCCAGTAGGACTGATGAATCGGCTCGCTTCGGAGAGTAAGTAATGTACCGCCGCACAACGAGCTCCAAGCAAGCATGGGTTGCCCGCGCGCTTGTTGCGAACAATCCGGCAGTCACAGCTGGTCAAAACAGTTGCTTCCCTTGACAGTGGGCTTGAATAGTTAGCACTGGAGTTGGTGAGAGACCGCGGAGCCCATCGACCTCATCCATTTCGACGATGTCCTTTGGTGTTGCCCGTGCGGATATTGATTTCGAGCAGAAATGGATGCCTTCTCGGGGTTGCGCCATCGCATGAAAAAGCAACGACAGATGAGCATATGCACTGGGCAAGCTCGTTTGGAAGAAGCCAACCAGGAATCAATGAATGACTCGTTGAGCTGTTGGTAGTTGCATCGAGTCGTGGCAGCTACAGCTAACAAGAGTCTAGGGTAAGGTAAGGGAAGTACGTGGTTAAGTTAGTTCCAGGACTTCAGGGAACCCAGCAGTTATGCTCGTACGTGGTAATTACGTTGTTAACCTCAGACTGTTGCAGTGATTAACAATGCTCCTAGTGCTTGTAAGTTGTACTGTCGTCACTTGCACTTCATTTGCTTTAAGATGCGGACGGATACTGGGTGTGTAGACCTTCTCCCGACAATGTTTGAGTTTCACGCGCGCGCATGCATTTTAGCCTGAGCTCGAGGCGGCATGCGCTGTGGGGGATCCGCAGTGACCATACGGCGGCAGAGTGATGGTTATGGAACGGTAGCATGCAGTAGCCGGCACATCACGGACGGGCGGGGGCATACGGAGTACTGCGAAGAGTCGAAGACGGTAACTTTTGTCGAATGATCTGAGCCTGGTGCGACAATCTTATTCATGCCAGCGTGTTCAACGTATCGTGCCGGCGTCGATGACTGCTGGACTTGCAGGTTGTGCACCTCTGCCACCTCAGCGGCACAGCCTCCAGGCCATGTCAATGCACACCCAGTGTGCATTAGCCATGTCAGCTACCCGCCTGGAGTCCTGGATATGTCCCGCCCCATGCACTCAGCCCAGCCATCCACACCAGGCACTCCAGTCATATTCCTTCCCTCCATCGCTTCGGACCCCTGGGGGGGGGGGGGGGGGGGGGGGGGGGGGGGGGGGGGGGGGGGGGGGGGGGGGGGGGGGGGGGGGGGGGGGGGGG